CAGGAGTGCAGGGTTAGGAGTAATCCCTGAACACCACCAAATGTGGCCCAAAAGCAACCAAAAAAATCAAAGTAATGGGTCAATCACCCCCAAAGAATTGCCACCCTTCCCTCCCCTCCCCTCCCCTCTCCTCCCCTCCCCTCTCTGTCCCTTCCCTTCCTTTTTCGCCCTTCCCCTTTCTTCCCCTCCCCTCCCCTTCCTGTCCCTTTCCCTTCCCTCCCCTCCCCGTCCCTTTCTTCCCCTCCCCTCCCCTCCAGTTCCCTACTCTCCTTTTCCCTTCCCTTCCCTTCCCTTCCCTTCCCTTCCCTTCCCTTCCCTTCCCTTCCCTTCCCTTTCTCTTTCTCAGGGAAAGTGGAGGAGGAGCTGGTAAGAACTCTCTCTCTCTCTCTCTCTCTCTCTCTCTCCCCCCACCCCACCACCACCAAGCAGCCCTAAATTAAACTGAAAAGTCAATTTCGCTGCCTCTGCTGCAGACAGCAGCGACGTTTTATTTTAGCTCACAGACACCATCTTTAAATAGTCTCACTCCACAAAGGACTGGGAGGAGAACAGGAGGGTCAGTGAAGGGAAATGGCCCCTCTGGCGATGCTAGTGCTCCCTGTGCCAGTGCTCCCGCTCCACAGCTTCACCCAGAGAGAGGCGGGACAGGCAGTGGTGCATGACCCCAAGGGTGTGGGAGAGGATGTGCCCCTGGGGCCCCGGGCGGTGGGAGGGCATCTCTGAGGACTGTGGAAAAGGCGGGAACTGCTGCAGGATGGCGTCTCCCATTGCTATGAGGTCTAGGGACAGACAGAAAGAATCCAAAGGGGCTGGAGCGATAGGACAGCAGGGAGGACGTTTGCCTTGCATGTGGCTGACTCAGGTTTGATCCCTGCATGATATCCTATGGTCCTCCGAACACTGCCAAGAGTATTACTGAGCACTGAAACAAGAGTAACCTCTGAGCACTGCTGGGTGTGACCCTCAAGCCAAAAAATATACATATAGTTTCAGGGGTAGGGGGCTGGGGAGACAGATCAGTGGGCTAAGATGCAACAGGTCGAGGTTCCCCCCAGCACCCCATGATTCCTCAATCCCACCAGGAGGAACCCTTGAGCACTGAGCCAGGAGAACCTCCTGAACACCTCCAGGGATGGCCCCAAACCAATCAGAATCAGAACATCCACGTATAACTTTGGATTCCCTCCAAACCCGATTATCACCTTGTTTTATTAATTATTTTTGTGCTCAGGGTTTATTCCTGGCTCTGCACTCAGGGATCACTCCTGGCGGGGGTTGGGGGGAATCACCCGGGGTGCACGTGAAAGGCAAATCATGATACAGCAGCAACAACTGAAAACGAGAGTAAACCAGGCTCGGAGGACATGGCTGACCTTCAGTCCCTGGCATAGGTGGGTGCCGGCCCCGCCCACCCACACAACCGCGCATGCGCGGACTGAGCATCCATCCCCTCCGGGAGGTGCTGTGGCAGGTGGTTCAGACTCGGGCCATGTGGTCCCTCCATCACCACCTCCAGGAGATTCTGAGACCAGATGGCCGAGGAGGCTGACTTCCAGATGGTTCTCTGTAATGCCCTGGACCCAGCTGAGAGGGGGCCGAGAGAGCATTTCAAGCCCACTTTGGAGGGTCCTGAAAGAAGGTGGATACGGAGGATTGGGGAGCACCGTGTTTGAGCAGAAGAGTTACCCCTTTTTCTGAACTGAAAGGCCAGTAGATGGGCAGTAGGGCATCTTAGCGGGGATGCCCAGATGAGGTGACCAGCCCCTCCCTGCACTGTCCCACTTTTCTGCCTCCAGGATTTGGATCACTGTTAGACCTTTACGACGGTCATTTCTAGATGGCGGTCACTACCGGTCTCTAGTGGGGGGCCGTGGTTTGGGGACCATCTCTTCCCCGGCTACCCAGACTGGGACCCACCAAGAGGACAAACCTGCCCTCAGGGAGGAAATCGAATATGCAGGTACCACTTGCAGGAAATGTCAATGACCTCCGCGGGAGAATTCAGGAGCCCTTGGAAACTTCTGGAAATCAGACCAGTGATATTCCACCTGTCCCCAAAAGGAAGCGGTTGCATCAGAAAGTGCTCTGTCCTCCTTTGCCCACAAGCCACTTCCTTCTCCCAGGTCAGCGGAGGACACTGGGCTGCCCGTTGGCCCCCATGCAAGCAGCGCGGCAGTTGCCGACAGCTCCTGTCCAGTCTGATTAGGACGCTTGGACAGAAGGCTGGCCGGCGCCCAGGGGCACTACGCAGGGCAGCCGAGTCCTTCAGGAGCTAGCGCCAGCCACCAGGGGGCGCGCTGACGCCTAACACTGTCTAGGGGCTGGCAGGGGTTGGCCGCTCTCATCTTGGAAAGGGTAATTGTGAGCGCGGTGGACACGCAGGGGCGGTGGCCTCATCTATCAAAGCACCTGGTGACCACGTGAAAAAAAGAGAAGTGCTATCCAAGTTTTGAAAATGTGAGGTGGCTTTTTTTTTAATTTAAAGGGTTCTGGAATTCTCATGAGCACAGATTCATTTACTTGTTTGTTTTGGGGCCACACCCAGTGATGGTCAGGGTTTATTCCTGGTTTTGCACTCAGGAATCACTCCTGATGATGTTCAGGGGACCATATAGGATGAAGGAGATCGATACTGGGTCAGCAGTAGCATACAGGGCAGCTGTTTTAATGTACAAAAATCAGAAAAAAAGTCAAGTCTATTTTTTGTGAGCTCCTGGGCCCTGGGCTGGGTTTTGAAATGATTAGTTTGTTTCGTCCAGAGGCAGTCTCCTGCCCTTTGGCATCTGCATGCGAAGTATCACTTCCTGTGGTCTCAAACCTGTCCCAGGACATGGAGAAGCAGTTGGAGAAACTGCCACAATCCCTCTCTCCATGAAATTTTTTTTGGGGGTGTCACATCTGGCAATGCGCAGGGTTTCCTCCTGGTTCTGCACTAAGGGATCACTCCTGGTGGGGCTCTCAGGGGTGCCAGAGACGCACCCTCTCCACTGTACTGTCTCTCTGGCCTACGAGATGTTAAAAAAAGTGGCCCCCCAGTAACAAAACCCCAGAAATGTGAGGGGGTGTCAGGGATGTGTTAATGACCATAGAAAGTCGAGACCAACTTTTGGACTGTCAACTCAGAACTTTCCCACGTTTTTTCATATTCTACCATATTTCATCAGAGAGCTGCGCCACCATCTGTGCTCCCCCAATTTTAAAACAAGAAATACCGGCACAATTTAAAACAAACTTCACATAATAATGGTCTCGCCCATGTATTTTCCGTTTTTGCAAACAACAACAACAACAACAACAAACAAAACTCAAACCGAAACGAAAAACTCCCAAACCGCCGAAATCCTAGCCTAAAATCTTCCATGACTATGCGCTGGAACTTGGCGCTGGAGTGGCTCAGAGGAACGAGGCGGCCCTTACATGGAACTGGAACCCAGGACGCAAAAGTTGACCAGCTGTGGGAGAACTGAAAAGCTCAAAGACTCACAGCAGATATGCAAATTAGTTTATTGTCATTCTCCAAACAAGTTAAAAAAAACCCTCCCTGTAATATTTTCCTGTTTACTGATGTTTGTTGCTCTTCACCTGGGAGGGCACGGATTCTTTCTGCAGGAGGGAGATGGTCTCCCTGCATTGTCTGAGGGTAACCCTGAAAGCAAAGTTGGATATGGGATCCTTTTAAAGGGGGCTGGGGAGGGGGCGCATCTGGAACTGGAGGCTCACCCAGGCAGGAAAGGGTTCTTTTGCTAGTAAGGATTCCGCCCATCTTACTGGCTTCTTGGCAACAAGATTAGTAAGGCAGGTGGAGCTCCGTGCCAGACCCAGTACAGCATCTCCAGAGGTAATCTTGGAAAAAGGAGACTATCTCGCAGAGCTGCTCACAGAGGGTAGCTAAGGACGCGCGCGCGCGCACACACACACACACACACACACACACACACACACACACACATTTTATTTCCCTCAAAAAATGTCAGAGGCACCAAAAAAAACGGGAGGGTGGAGAGTGTCCGCTCTTTAGGGAGTGGGTCATCCCCTTCAAATGTTAGGGAACTTCTTAGGACAATCTCTGCTGCACCTGGGGACCCCACTAGAGTGGCCTCCCTGGGCCTGGCAGAACCCAGACAGTGGAGGTGGGGGCTCGTCCCGAGTGGTCCTCAGCACCTTCCCTTGGGAAGAAGCACTGACCCAATTCCAAATAGCCTGGAAAAGCGGGTTTGGGGTGGGGGGGTTCCACAGTGACAAAGGGTTAAGCTCCGGTGGGCATCCAGGGACATCACCGCATTCTCGGGGCGGTGACTCCCAGGAGAACCGGAGCTGGCTGCTTTTCAAGGAGCCCATTCAGAAACTGGCTTCTGGGGGCACCCCGAGTAGGCCCGCACAGGGAGACGCCGAGGTAGGTTGTCCGGGACACCCTGTCGGTGGACGCCCGCGGCCGCTCTGGCAGTGTGGACGGTACTCGAGCTGAGGGGCACAGGGATGGAGGAGGTTTGGCTTCTGAGACGGGGTGGAAGAGGTTTGCCCCAGCTGACCACACGGAAGGGCCGCTGCGCGGGTGAGACCTGGGGCTGGGGCATGTCGGGGTGGGGGATAGGGGTGGGGGAGTGAAAAACAACAACAACAACAAAAAACCCAGGGAGAAGAAAAAGAAACCATGTAAAACACTCCCTTCTAAAAACAAGGGGCTGCAAATTTCTTTATTTCTCGTTATCGAGGAACAAAAATACTCTAGCGATGGCTATTGGGTTTCCTTCCCCGGGGACGGGAGGCGGCGGGTGCTGGCTGGCACGCACCCCCGCGGCCAACCACAGCACGACTGAAATCCTGGCCTTCTGCTACCTGAGAGGCGTCGGTGGCGGTTCAGGCACCAGGAGGGGACGTTGGCGCAAAGACCCGTCCACCGCACTGGCAGACGGAGTCGCCGGCCGATGCGCCCGGGTGTTGTAGAAAAGACACCGACAGAATATGCGGGCGCGAGATCATCAGGGGGCTGGGTGGAGAGCGAGGAAGTGGGCCGGCCTGCCCCCGCCGCACCTCGCTACACCCCGCCCCCGCGCGCTCACGGCCGCGCCCCGCGCGCCTCGCGCCGCCGCCGCAGCTCCTCGCGGTAGCAGTAGGAGCAGTAGTGCTCGGTCTCGGCGCGCCCGTAGAAGGCGCAGTTTTCCCGTTGGCAGCGCCGCTGGGCCGGGCCGGGGCCGGGGCCGGAGCCGGAGCCGAGCCCGGGCCCGGGGCCGCCTCCAGCGCCCGCCCGGGCGCACTCAGCGTTCGAGCGGCTGGCGGGCGGCGCGTCGGCGTCGGCGAACTCCAGGCCGTCGCGCGCGCCGAAGCCGTGGCTGTAGGTCTGCGACTTGGCGTCGCTGGGGGTCCCCGCGCGCGCCAGCGACTCCACCGTGTTGACCGTGCGCAGGGCAGCGGCAGCGGCGCGCGCGGGGCTGTAGCTCTGCGACGCCAGCGAGCGATTCTGCTGCGGGTACGTGGCGCACGGGCGGAGCGCCCCGACGGCCGGCGCGCACGCCTCGTCCCGGGCGCCCGCCGCCTGCACGTGGATGACGCTCTGGCGGCCCGGGAGCGGCGGGGGGCTGCGGCCGGGGGCGCTCAACGCCGCCGCACGCCGTGCGCTCGGGGACCCCCCGCCTCCGGCCAGCGCCGCCGTGGCGGCCCGCGCCGCGCGCCCGCCCGCCGGCCCGGGGCTCGGCCGGTCCTTGAACTTGAGCACCAGCTGCGTGGGCTGCCCGGACGGCGGCGGCGGCGGCAGCAGGGGCGGGGCCGGGGAGGCGCGCTCGGGACCCCCGGGCGCGCCGTCCTGCTCCGGCCGGCGCTGTGCCCGCTTGGCCGCCGTCGGGGGTGCACTGGCGGCGGCGGCAGCGGCGGCGGCGGCGGCGGCGGCGGCGTCGCGGCGCCGCTGCTCCTGCTCGGCGCTGAAGCGCTCCTGCGCGCTGGTCAGGTAGTAGCCGATCATCTCCTCGTGGAACTGGTGCCGGTGGCTGGTGAGCAGCAGGCCGGCGAAGATAAACTTGCGCTCGCCCTGCATGGCGGCGCGCAGGATGTTGAGGCTGAGCTTGACGTCCGTGCTGTACTTCCAGGAGTCGCCCCGCGGCCCGCCGCCCTTCTCGGCCGGCGTCGCGCCCGCCGTCTTGTCCGTGGGCGACGGCGTGGTCTTCTCCGACGGCGACGTGCCCGCGGACGTGCCCGAGTCCTCCTTGCTGCCCTTGCGCGCTTTCGTCTTCTTGTCTTTGGTGCGCTCGGGCGCGTCGCCGCCGCCGTTCTTGCCGTTGGCCGAGTTGGTGCGGCCCATCTTGCCGTGCACCAGGCCGCCCAGGCCGCCCATGTTCTTCTTCAGCTTGATGCCCAGAGTCTTGCTGAAGCTGCCCAGCTTGTTGGCCACGGAGTCCGCACGCGTCTTGTCCTTGTCCTTGCGCTGCCGCTCTCTCTCCTTGTCTTTGCCGGTCTTGCCATTGGTGCTGTTGGAGCTGCTGCAGACGGACTCGCGGTCCGAGTCCAGAGAGTCGGCCAGGGACTGCACGTCCTCCCCCGCCGAGGCTGTCGGAGACTCGGGCTGCGCCAGAGGGGCCTGCGGGAGGAGGAAGCACGGATCAGGGTTAGCGGGCAGCGGTCCCCACCTGGGGGAGGGGCCGGGGCATACGGAACCGCCCCAACCTGTTCCATCGGCCTCTTCGGGAACGGGGCACACAGGTTGCAGGCTTCCTGGACCCGTAAGCCCGGGTGTTCTGCCACGGAGCCCCAAAGCCTCAGCTGATTTTGGAGCTTGTGACCTCGTGCAGTGGCCCCTCAACGCTGGGTAGACAGGAAGGCTTCCAGGTCAGGCTGGCTCCAGTTACACCTTCTTTACTCCAGGCAGGGCCCGCTCTGTGGATCACGCCCTCGAGTGGGCAGTGACACCCTCTCCCCCGGCCCCATTTCACTCTAGGCTGCTTTCTCTAGCTACCATCTGGAGAACCATGAGGCACTATTTCAGATTCTGTAATAGTGGGCTGGCCTCCGGTGGCGGTGGGGAGGACGCAGGGGCCATCTCTGCAGACACTGCAGGTTAGGCCACTGGCCACCGCAAAACTTTAGGGGAGCTGGAAAATGGGAATGAGGGCGCTAGAGCCAGCCGCCCTGCCGCTGCTGGTCTCAGAGAAGCCCCGTGGAGTCACCGTTGCCCCCTTTTCCCTTTTGCTCTCCTTCCCCCCACCAAGTGTCAGGCAAGGGGAACTTCTGCCACCAGGACCCCTAGAAACGACCTTCTCCCATCTTGGTTGGGTGCAGAAGGAGCCGAAGAGCTGAGGGAAGCCAGGGACCCAGAAGGGTCCAAGGTGGCGGACGGGGTTCCAGGGACAGGCGCAGGGCACACCACCAAGCTGGAAGGGGCTTTGCCAGATTATTATCACAATTATTTTGGTTTTGGGGCCACAACCGGCAGTGCTCAGGGGATACTCCTGGCTCTGTGCTCTCAGGAAGTACTCCTGGCAGTGCTCAGGAGACCAAAGGGGCACCAATGCCAGAGGTCGAATGCCTGCCTTGCTCTACTCTTGCTCGGGCCGCACCATGATTATTTTTGCCCAAGCGCCTGGTCTGATGTGGGGAGTCACCGTTGCCCCCCAAGTCTCCTGATGCTGGATCTCCAGCTCCTGCATCCCCCTGCCCCTCCTTGTGAGGGTGGGGCACACTCCAGGCAGTTCAAAGTCCAGTCGGAGGGCTGCTGGTATCGTCAGCAAGCCTCGAGGACCCAGGCAGAGAGCAGACAAGGAGCCGGGGTACGTGCACTGGGTTGGAGGCACCGTGCATGTGCTGAAGAGCTGAAGAGCACCACCCCTTGCACGGGCAGAAGGGGCATTCAGGGAGCCATGGGGCAAAGTTTGCACGCAGGGGCATGGGGGTCCATCCAGATGGAGACTCCCACCCCAAGCACTGAGCAGGGACTCACCTCAAAGCAAAAACCAAAACCCAGGCGCCAGAGCGATAGTTCAGTGGCGAGGGCATCTGCATCTCAGAGGGTTCTCCAGCACCCCCAGGAGTAATTCCTGAGTGCAGAGCCAGGAGTAACCCCTGAGCACTGCCCGATGTGACCCAAAAAGCCAAAAGCAAAGAAACCCCAAACCAATCAAATTCCTTAGTGAGCACCTGGGATGAACTTTGCCCTCAGGCATCCAGGTTAGATCCCTCCCTCAGGGGAGGAGGTGCCCTTATCAAAAGAGAAAGGAAATTCCTTAAGAGCCCGACTCCCTAAACTGTAAACTGGGCACCAGGGCAAAGACCTCAACATTTGAAAGCCAATGAAAGGTTCTTGGAATCCGCAAATGTTGCAAGGGCCATTCTTCAGCCTCTGATGCGGGTGGGTCCCGCTGCCCCTCCCCCCGCGGCAGGGGAGTAGAGGGGTGCGTGGGCTCCAGCCCTCCACTGGCCAGCCCCACCGCCCTCACAGCGTCTAGTTCTTTCCTCAGCCCATGGCCCACTCGTTCCAATCTGGGCAGATGACCTGGGATTGTCTGGGGAGGGGGTTCCTTTCTTCCTCTGGGGAGGGGGTTTCTGCTTTCTGGGGAGAGGGGATTCTTCCTTCCCTTCTGGAGAAAATAATGCAGAAATAGAAGAAACAAAATCCAAAACCACAACAAAAAATCCCAGCAGCCATTGAGCACACCCGTTCCAGGGCCTGAGAAGGGGGGGGGTCACCCTTTCCTCCTCTGTGTCCCTCCTCCCCGTAGCCCCCCCCTCCCCAGGTGCTCACCCTCGTCTCTGACGGGATCCGGATCCACGTCACGTTCATGTAGCTGTGCAGGAAGCTCAGCTTGGCCTCCAAAGACAGGATGAGGCTGGAGGGAAAGTGTTGGGTGTGTGGGCTGGGGCCAGGGAGCGGGGCTACATCCACCCCGCGCCCCGCGCCCTCGCCAGGGACACCCGAAGCAGCAGGGGCTGGGGGGGAAGGGCACCTCCCAGGGAAGCCCCGCCCCACCGGCTGTAGGTTGGGCCACCTTGGACTCAGGGAGGGTGCTGGGGAGGGGAGGTGCATGAGGGGGCACTCACTGCGCCAGCCTGGCGTTGTCCTTGTCGTCTTTATCCCACTCCCATTCCTTGCCTGGGTCCACCGCAAAGTGCAGGGGCAGCAGCTTATGCTCGGAATCGGTCAGAGGGATGACGGCTGCGGTGGGAGAGAGACGGGCTTGCTCCTGACCCACGGGGCCAGCACTCCCGGGATGGCCAGACCCGACCCGGGATGGATGCAACCCAATGCACAGACAGACAGGTCCCTGGGATCCAAATGGTCCATCCAAGGACCGGGGAGATTTTGCACGCGGCTGACCTGGGTTCTATCCCAGAATCACATATGATCCCTGAGCACGGAGCTAGGCGGTGGCCGTGAGCACCTATGGGTGTGGCCTAAGAACAAAAACACCCATCCAGAAAAATGCCCCTCCTTGGCATTTTGGACATCACCACCACCAACAGCTCTTGGGGCTCTGGGTAGCTGTTAGCAAAGGCCCTCATGGCCGCCTCTGTCGCCCCCAGCATAAGCCTGCAGGATGGGGACTGCCCGAAGGGACCCCTGCACCCCCACATCCCTGGAGCTCTTGCTTCTGGCCTGGTTACTGCCTGGTGAGAGTAAAAGGCTTAATGCCAGACGGGACCCCCCTCCACGCTAAAGGGGTGCAGTACTTTGAGGCCTGACAGGGCACTGGAGGCTCCGGGAGGGGCAGGAAGGCTGGGGGGCTGGGGATTTGAGTGCGGGGGGTGGGGGAGGGGCGCTTGATCTTTGCAGGTTCGATTCCCAGCATCCAGAATGACCCCTGAGCCCCACCAGGAGTGATCCCTGAGCAGAGATCCAGGAGTCAGCCCTGAGTATCGCCACCGGGTGTGTTCCCCAGCACCTCAACTCCCCCCCCCCCCAACAAAAACAAATGATCACATCATCCTATAGTTCCTTGATTGCCTCAAGCAGGCACCAGATTTTAAAGAGTGCCATATTCAAGGCTCTCTCAGGGTTAGGAGAATGAGACCCATTAAAACAAAACAAAACAAAAAAGCACAGAGAGACTGCGCCCTCTGTGGGGAGCCCCAGAGGTCCATTAAATATCTATCACGTGTCCCGCAGGCTCCCCCTCCCCAAGCCTGGGAGGCAGATGTGGCCCCCTTTACAGACAGGGTAGTGGGCTGAATTCATGGGACAAAGGGTCTGGTAAATCTGAGGCCTGACCCTCTCTCTCCCCTTATGCCTGGCCTGGATGCTGGGGCAACCCCCCAACTTTCTCCCTGCTTTCTCCCTCCCCCTGCCCCAGGCACTGTCTGTCAGCTAGCTGCCTTTCCCCAGAATACCCAGCCAGGGTGCCGGGACACCAAAGAAAAGGAAGCAAACGAGCGAGCGGGCGAACAACTGAAAAAATCAGACAGAGGCGGGAGCATCTCCCCAGCGATTTTCCTAACGAAACCCCCACCCCGACTCAGTGCTTCCCTCTAGTGTTACTAGAAAGAAAAAGCACACGAGCCCCTCAGGTAGGCCAGACGCTTGTCTCTCCCACAGGGCGCCCCGGGCTTGTCAACCCAGGAGTTGACAGCCAGGAGTATGACCTGCACACAGCTGGGTGTGGCTCCCCAACAAGACAAAACAGTGTGTGATGAAGCGCAGTTGTGACCGCGAGGCATCTGCAAGCTCTACAGCACAGCCGTCCCGGCAGGAGCATGCATCTGGATGGGATGTGATGCAGAAGCCAAAGCATCCCACCAACGCAGGCACAAACACAGAAGGCCAAGTAACAGCAGCCCAGCAGCCGCTCAGACAAGGACTTAATGGCCCCGTGCCGAGACACAACAATCCCACCAATTTTCTTCTACTGAAGTATTTTGGGTCATTCTGTGGGCCAGTTAGTGGTAACAGACAATAAAATAAATGATTGTGGGAGCAGGCTTGAGGGGGCATTGGGAAAATGCGGACACTGGTGGAAGGAAGGGGACAGTGGTGGTGGGATTGGAATACTGAACACCTGTAACAAGTCACCACAAACAACTTTGTAAACCGCCACAGTGTTTAAATAAAGTGGAAAAAAAACCCCAAATGGTGCATAAAATGCCCTCAGCCTCCCAAGTTGGGGAAACTCAGCAGGGTGTGGGGGGGTCCTGTCTGATCAGGGCGGGGCTCCCTGCACTGCCCTCTCTGTAGAGAGGTCAGGGGCTGCGTGGCTGGTCTCCCTCTGTCCTGGCTCTGGGGGCGTCCCTGCCCGCATCAGCTCTGAGAGGCCTCACTGAGCACAGGCTGGGCTTGGGCACTGACCTGCATCAGGGGGTCTGGCCCTCTGGGTGTTGGTGGGGGTTTCTCACACCCCTGAGAGCCCAACTGGAGTCCAGCATTTCTCCACGGGGACCCCATGATCCCTGGTGACCGCCAGGGCATTTCAAGAAGGGGGGCACAGGCAAAGTCACCGTGTAAAAGGGGGATCATGACTCTGAGGCCGAGGGAGGGTCACAGGAAGCGGTTCACCATCGGAAAAAGGCTGAGAAATGCTGCGCTAGGGATTTGGGGTCATCCCCACCAGTGAGACCCCAGTGTTCGGTGGCCTGGTGGGGGGGTGTCACTTGGAAAAAACCTGAAATCCAGGCTCCAGCCACAGCTTCGTGCAGCGCGGGCGAGCTCGCCCTCTGCTGGCCGAGGTCCAGAACAGTAAAGTTCATTTCATTTCATTTCATTTCATTTCATTTCATTTCATTTCTCTGAATTGTGTTTGGCTTTTGGGCCACACCTGGCTGTACTCAGGTCAGCTCCTGGCTCTATGCTCTGAGATCGCTCCTGGCCGTGCTTGGGGGATCCTATGAGAAGCCAGGGATCGAACCTGAGGTGGCCGTGTGCCAGGCAAGTGCTGTGCTTCCTCGGGTCTCTAGTTTTAAAGGCCCTCGCTCCCTTCCTCTCCTGTGTGGTGAGGGGTTGGGGTGGCAGTGGGGGTGGCAGCTTGCACACCTGGCCACACTTGTCGTCAGGGCTGCACTTTTGCGGGTGCCTGGGAGGTGGCATTCTGCCGAGGTGCTGAAGACCCCAAATGGCCGGGCCGTGGGGACCGCCCTGGACTTCTGTGTGCGGCATAGGCTCCAACTCATGCCTGCAGGCATGAGGGGGGTCACTTTGCAGCGGGGGATGCTGGGGTTCCCTCCAGGCCCTCCTCCTGCAAGGCGCGGCTCCAGCTACGAGGCCCTGCAGGCTGCCCCACACACTTGAAAGAGGCGCCTCTGAGCATGCTGGGCATTCCCCCCCCCCCCCCCCCAGGTCCTCCTGGCCCTGCGCCTACCTTGTTCTCGCTGCTGGTCCCGCTGCTCCATGGACACCAGGGCCGAGAAGTGCGCCTGGTCGTAGGCGAGAACCAGGGGCGAGCAGTGGCATCTGTTGGGAGGCACCTCCAAGGGCAGGTAGATGCCCCCGAACGGGATGGGCGCGAACGCTGTGGGCGCAAGCGGGCATGAGGCGGGAGGCGGCCAGGGGGTCCCCGCAGGTGAGGGGGCTGGGTCTGCTGGACCCCACGCCCTGTGTATTCCCGGGGACACACCCCCCTCTCCTGGCAGTGTCCCCTGAGCCTTGCCCCTGTGCTGAACACGGGCTTAGTGCAGTTCCCTGCACCCCAGGAGGGGGCGCCACCACCACCACCACCTGTGCCACTACTGAGGGAAAGACTGGCCCTGGGCAGTGAGCAACCAGGGATCTGAGGGCCGCCTGGAGGCTGTGCTTCTGGGGTGCCTCTATTGCTCCAGGGGGTGCTCAGGGAGGCCGGGGGCTATTCCCTGGACCCTCAGCTGAGCAGCATGGATGGATCCGCACTCAGCCCTGCTATGCTGGGGGGGCTCTGTCCACGCTGGGGATAGCAGGGAAGTGGGAAGCCCTTGGGTGGCCCCGACCCTCCCTCACTGCCACTGGACAGGGAGGGGGACAGAGAGGGGAGGGAGAGAGGCCCAGACAGGGAGGTGCCTGGCTGCCTTCGTGGGGGGGGGCGGTGGGACACACACATCTCAGTCTCTCGGTACGCAGCTCACCTTCCCCGCCCGAGTCCCGCAGCATCGTGTCGGCCACCACCACGATGGGCCGGCGCAGAATGTGCGCGAGCACAAACACGTGGAATTCCTCCAGGCTCTCGTAGACAGGATCCTCAGCACTGCCCACGCTGCTGGGTGGGTCAGGAGGGGGAGAGAGGGAAGGGGAAGGAGGAAGAAAGGGAGAGAGAGAGGGAGAGGGAAAGTAGGGAGGGGAGAGTGAAGAAGAGAGGAGGGAGGGGGAAGAAGCAGGGAAGGAGGGAGAGAGGGAGGGAGGGAGAAACGTTTGAGTGAGGGTGGTGAGGACTGGGCGGGACTGTGGGCCATCTCTGTCCATCCCTCCCCCGACCGGACCCGTAGCCCGGGGGTCCAGGTGGGGAGCATCTGCCTCTGCACCTGGGGCTGTGGGGGGTCGGCTCTCCCTGCCCCCAAGGCCAGCACCTCAGGGCTGGCTACTCAGCACCCTCCAGATCTAGCTACCAATACCCGAGGCCCAAGCTGGCTCTTCTGGCGCTTGATTCAGACACTGTGCCCAGAAAGCAGGCAAACCCAGTGACTGCTGCTTTAATCGCTGTTTCTCGTGGGGCTTTGTTTCTTGGGGAGGGGGGGCGTGGACACCCCGTGGCAGCTGGCAGAGAGGCTGCCCAGCCTGACTTGGGAGCTGGGCTGAGCCCGCGGCTCTGCTTGCAGGCCCGCAGGGGGTGCTCTCCTGAAGCTCCTGAAGCTAGGGTTCTGAAACCCACCAAGCGGAAACAGGTCTTCACAGGCTCGTGGCAGACGGGTCCGTTTCAAAGCTAGTGCCTGGGTCCTCCATAGGCTGACACATGCTTGGCCAGAATTCGCGTGGTCTTGAGGGTGAAGCTGTGTAAGCTGGTGGGAACCGGGAACCTCTGTGCAGTCTCAAGATGAAGGGTCGAGGTGGTCACTCTTTTCTTCTACAGTAGCAATGGGGGCACCCCCACTGCTACTGTAGCTCCCCCGTGAGAGCAGAGCCCACTTTCTACCTGGGGCTCGGCACTGACAACCAGTTATCTGCCCTTTTTTTTTCTTTTTGGGTCACACCCGGCGATGTTCGGGGGGGTTACTCCTGGCTCTGCACTCAGGAATTACTCCTGGCGGTGCTCAGGGGACCATATGGGGTGCTGGGAATCGAACCCGGGTTGGCCGCAGGCAAGGCAAACATCATACCCACTGTTATCCACCCTTTTGCAGGGGTCCTGAGAGGGCCTTTGGAACAGGGGAGCAGCCGTTGTGGCTGATTCTTGCTTTTTTGGATTTGGAAGTGGAGTCTTCCTGGGGAGTCCATCGGCAGATCCAGGCGTGCTCAGAGGTGTCCGAGTCACTGGGGCACCCGCTGGAAGAGATTCCTGTGGCTGAGGGGTACATGGCTGCTCCCGCCTCTGGCAGGTCCAAATGGCAGCAGAGGGGCTCAGGCGCTAGGGCAGGGACGGGGGCGGGAGAGCAGTTTCTGCTGTCCCCCACAGACGTGGCCAAGTAGGGGGTTTCCTCTCCTCTTTGCTGCTGCTGCTGCTGTCACTGTGGCTGGAATCACACACCTGCCTGTTGCTCCCGCACTCAGCAGCGTTGTGTCCTGGGATGGCATTTGTTTAATCGTGGTGTGTGCATGGGTGGCCACTCATTTTATTTTTTTTTACCTTCCACTTACTTTTATTTAAAACGGTCATGGTCCTCCCGTTGTTCATCGATTTGCTCGAGCGGGCCCAGTAACATTGTGAAACTTGTTACTGTGTTTGGCATATCGAATACGTCACGGGGAGCTCGCCAGGCTCTGCTGTGCGGGCGAGATACTCTCAGTAGCTTTCCGGGCTCTCCGAGAGGGGCGGAGGAATCGAACTCGGGTCGGCCATGTTGGCTGCGTGCAAGGCAAACGCCCTACCCACTGTGCTATCGCTCCAGCCCCACCTTTACCTACTTTTTTTTTCTTTAGAATACTTTTTTTCTGTTTGTCACACCTGAAGATGCTCAGGGGTTACTCCTGGTGGTGCTCAAGGGACCATATGGGAAGCTGGGGATCAAACCCGTGTTGGCCGAGTGCTAGGCAAGTGCTCTAACTGCTGTACTATCACTCCAGTCCCACCCTCTACCTACTTTTAACACTAACTTACTGTCCAGGGCGATCATTCCCGACTGGTCCCTTCTCTATATTACCTACCCTCTACCTCACACCTGTGATTGATTCCTCTTAGTCTCTGTTTTTATATCAGTCTTCTACTATATATTTTTAGCACAGTGGGTAGGGTGTTTGCCTTGCATGCAGCTGACCCGGGGTCAGCTCCTCCGCCCCTCGCAGAGAGCCTGGCAAGCTACCGTGAATATCCCGCCTGCACAGCAGAGCCTGACAAACTCCCCGTGGTGTATTCAATATGCCAAAAACAGTAACAACGAGTCTCACAATGGAGACGTTACTGGTACCTGCTCGAGCAAATCGATGAACAATGGGAGGATAATGCTACAGTGCTACTATGTATTTTTATATACCACAAATGGATGCTGTCATTCTTCATCAGTCCCTCTCCTTCTGACTCCTTTCACTCAGCATGGTACTCTCCATGTCCATCCATTTATAAAAAAAATTCATGACTTCATTTCTCCTAACAGCTGCGTAGTACTCCATTGTGTACTCCACTGTGTACTCCATTGTGTACATTGTGTACGATTTATCCATTTGTCTGTTCCCAGGCACCCAGGATGTTTCCAGATTCTGGCTACTGTGAATAGTGCTGCAGTGAACATAAAAATGCAGATGGTGTTTCTGTCGTGTGTTTTTGGACCCTCAGGATATATTCCCAGAAGTGGTATTCCTGGTTCAAATGAGAGCTCAATTTCTAGTTTTTTGAGGAATATCCACATTGTTTTTCCAAAAAGGCTGGAGCAGTTGGCATTCCCACCAGCAATAAATGAGGGTCCCTTTCTCCCCACATCCACACCAGCACTGGTTGCTCTTGCTCTTTTGGGCCTGTGCCAGTCTCGGTGATGTGAGATGATACCTCATTGTCGTTTTGATTTGCATCTCCCTGATGATTAGTGACGAAGAGGATGAGCATTTTTTTCATGTGCCTTTTTTGCTATTCAAATCTCTTTGAGAAAGTTTCTGTTCATTTCTTCCACCGGCAGCCCCTCTTAACAGTTACAGCTTATGGCTGTGGTGCTCATACCTGCTGGCCAGATGTGGTGCTCACAGGTGCCCACCAGAGGGCACACGTCCCTGACTGCAGTGTTCCCATGTGCCCACCAGAGGGCGCACTTCTCAGCCGAGGTGTTTTGCTGAGGCTGCACCCCACCCCTTTTTGTGGTGTTTGCACACATCTGGCTCCAATGCAGGTGGAAATTCCTCGCACGCCTGGGACTCCAGACAGCACATCTTCCAAGACCACACTGGGTGTATGTGGGATCCCAGGGACTTGAACTCGTAACCTTATAATTGGAAGGTGGGTGCTTTAAGGCCCTGAACTAACTGATACTTCTGGACCCAACACATCATCATTTTTACAATGGAAGTCAAGTTGCTGGTGAGGGAGTCTTGAGGAGGAGGAGGGGCACTTGGAGGTTGGGCCATGTTGGGGTGGCAAGCCTCCGTCACAACTGGGTGACTGTCCCATGCCTTCTCCCCCAGCACGTCCCCTCGGTCTTTAGGGGTACTTTAGGGGTGAGAACCACGGAAGGGCGGTGATGGGGACTCTCGGTTTACGGGGTCCAGCTCCGAGTCCTCTGGGGTCTTGGGGAGCTGACTCTGGAGGAGGAAATCTGGGGGCTCCCTGCATTTGGGGGGCTGTGCTCGCCTCACCATTCCTGCTGTGGTTCTGGCCTGGGGTGGGGGGCAGGAGCTCCAGGAGGAGGACGGTGGGGGGTGTCCATGGGTACTTACCCGCCTCCCGTGCCGCCGTTCTTGCTGAGGTGTGTCCGGGGCTCACTGGACGCCAGTTTTAGCAGCTCTGTCCACTCTCGCTCCCACTCTTCCTCCGTGTACACCAGCCCTGACTGGCCAAAGGGAAGCAGGGTTAGGAGGTGACCAGGGGGGCACCTCCAGCCTCTGCACCCAGGGGATCTTCACTGCTTCCCCCCTATCCACCACGGTGCCCCATGGGTGCATCTGGGCTGCCTGAGTCTACCTGACACTGGCCATATTGGTGAGGAATGAGAATGTTCCAGAATATTCCAGAACATTCCAGAAGATAGACTGTCATGTGTTCCAGGCTGGGGCTGACTGTGTGTGTGTGTGTGTGTGTGTGTGTGTGTGTGTGTGTGTGTGTGTGTGTTCAAAAGGGAGAGCAGCCCACAGCATCGGGAAACCAGATGATTCTGCTGTGCTGGGAACAGCAGATGATCTCTGGACGGAGCACCTGGACAGGGGCTCTCGCTACAGAAAACAGCCATCAGGGAACCCGTTTGAGAGTGGACGCGGGATTTATAGCAGGGCGGGAGTGGAGGGTGCGCGGGCCTTGGGGCTGGGGTCTGAGCTCTCGCAAAGTGGCCTTTCAGAGTTGTGCCTGAGGGAGATGGGATCAGAGTGGACTCCCCACATGGTGGCACCAACCTCCTTGTTTTGCTGCGTCTGCTGCCACCGCCACCTGCGCCTCAGCGCCTCACGCTCAGCACCTGTCCGCATCATGCTGCACAGCGCCTTCCTCAGGACCAGGTCCCGGTCGTGAAAGCCCCACATGCCTGCATGGGGAACGCGGGGGACAGAGCTTGTGGTGAGCAGGGCCCAGCCTCCACTGACCACCCACCACTCACATGTCCACTCGTCCACCCATCCTTCACCTTTCCGTCCATCCACCCGTTCACTTGTCATCCTTCCAGACATTCATCCATTCACTTGTCCATCCGTCCACTCATCCTCCATAGATCCATCTGTCCACCCATCCTTCACATGTCCATCATCCACCCATCCTTCATGTGTCCATCTGCCCACCCATTCACTTGTCCATAGTAGGATAACGCTGGTTCGGCCTTTCTCTTCTGCCTCAGGGAGCTTAGATTTATTGGGTCACACCCATCACAGTGCTCCCGAGGCACTCCCATTCCTGTGCGTATCTTTAACCTGTTCTCTGTGCTCTGCTTCCCCTATCTGTTAATCACCTATATCCCCAAATCAGACCCTGTGATTTGTAAGGTCAGATCCTTCTAAGGACTCTGGATTTTGTATATGTAAGTGAAATATTGTTTTTTCTATTTCCCTTCTGTCCTTTGCCTGGATTACTTTTGAGCAATGTCCTTTCTGTACAGACACAGGAAGACAATGCTATGCTTTTACAACCTGGGAATTGACTCCGAATAATATTTAATCCCGGGCATCTGTCATACTTACTCAACTTGTAAGCCTTAGCCGCCCTTAGCTCCTACCACCCCAAAAGCAGGATCCTGACAAAGGGACTTGGATGGACCCAAGTCAAGATGTGAGCTACCCTGGCATCGAAAAGGGACAAGAGGGGCTGGAGCGATGGCACGGCGGGGAGGGCATTTGCCTTGCACGCGGCCAACCCGGGTTCGATTCCCAGCATCCCATATGGTCCCCTGAGCACCGCCAGGGGTGATTTCTGAGTGCAGAGCCAGGAGTAACCCCTGTGCATTGCCAGGTGTGACCCCCCCCCCCAAAAAAGGGACAAGTGCCATAAAACTTTTAAGTTAAGAGCATGGTCGTGGACAAACTGTCAGGACCCAAAGAGAACAACTAGATAATGACCAAGCTGGGATTGGGAAGGGCTTATCTGGCCTGAAGACTGCTGTCTGGGATTTAAAGCGAGATGTCCCCAGGAGAGCCAACTTTAAGCTTAATCTATCTCTTACTGTGTCCATACAAAATGACTGGAAAGATTAGCACTGCACTGTCTCCTCCCATTGTTCATCGATTTGCTCGAGCGGGCCCAGTAACATCTCCATTTTGAGACTTGTTGTGACTGTGTTTGACATATTGAATACGTCACTGGAAAGATTATTAAGAAATAAATTTAAGATGATTGTTTCAATGTATATGGACTAAGGAAAGAAGAAATTCGGCCTTAAGTGAAATTCTGCCCTTGAGCAGATCTCCTAGTCGATGAGATCTGTGTCTTCCCCAGAAGGAATGCTTCCCCCTGCCCCCGAATATGAAGATTGTATTATCTCACCTAGGTGGAGTTGCTACCCTCCAACCTTGGATGATGGGCTTTAACTAAGTCTGGGAGACGGGAATATGAGACAGGGAGAGACTAGCTTGGGGAAGGTAGGAGAGGGAATAGGGGCAGTGAGTGAGACTGGAAGGAGGCAGAGGAAGACCAGATTGGAATAAACGGCAATTGGTCACCAACCAGCTTGACCCCCGTTTCCTCCTTCCTTCATCCATCACTATTGGCCATCCAGGTTGGGAAAGTAGACTGACCACCGAATGCATGTGGCAAGTGTCCATACATTTTGTGAACACACACATTCATCTACCCATTCACATGTTGATCTGTCCACCCATCCTTCATGTATCCATTCATCCACCCATTCACTTGTCTGTCTATTCCTTCATTCGCTTGTCTGTCCGTCCGTCCGTCCGTCCATCCATCCATCCATCCATCCACCCACTACTTTCATTGGTTTATCGACTCACTGTTTATTATGCACTCAGCCATCCATCCATCCATACTCACTAATCCATTCACTTATTCACCCACCTGTGTGCCCATTTATTTGTTCTCTGATTTATCCATTGATGCATTCATTCTCTCACCCATCTGCTCACTCATTCACTCCCCATCCACCACCAGTCTGTTCACTCATCCATCGCATTAACACCCCGTTCACTGGTTCATTCCTTGGTCTCGATGACCGCCTTTTGTTTCCCTCATTTCCGCAGGGCCATGAGTGCCACTGAGGAAGGAAACAGCATCTCATGCACTGGGAAGACCCCCTGTAGCAACCAAGACAGGGCTGGCCCCAAATTCCGGTGCACCCAATGGTCAGTGGTGGGTCGACCATGAAACTGGCTGGCGAGAGGATAGGAGATGTGGGTCGCCCACAGCACAGACCCCACCCACACCTGTGCTGGAAGAGGGAAAACCGGGGCAGAGGCGGCTTCCAGAGAGTGGGCGCCACCAGAGAGCTCCATGGGGGCCCTCACTGACCACTCTGAATCCTAAGCCCCCAGGCACTGTGGGGGCTGCCCAGCCCGTGAGGCCTTTGGCCTTTTGCCCAGCAGGGGGCGCTGTAGAGCCAGGCACAGCTTGTGTGAGTGTCCAGGGCTGGCCTACCTCCACAGCCCCCTGACATCCCTGCCTCGAGGTGACTCTTGCCCAGAGGCCACCCCGGGCCCAGCACTGTCTGCCCAGCCCAATGCCCAACTTTCTGTTCTCTGCTGCTAGATGGGTCCCACTGCCTGGCCCAGTGTGTCCAGCCCATCAGGCTGGCTGCTGTCTCCGGGCCTCACTATTTGGCTGCGAAGGAAAAGAGAGGGCAGCACTGGTCACTGCCCGGCTGTCCTCCCAGAGGTGGAGGCCGGGGGCTCTTGACATTGGATGACCCCTAAGGTGCTCCTCAGGTCTGTGTGAGGTGTGGGCTCCGTCCCTGGCACCGCTCGGTCCCCACTAGCAACGCTGGGATGGAGCCTCCAGTCCCGGGGCTTAGAGCGGCCCAGATGGAAAAACAAAAGGATAGCTGCCCCTTACTGACCTGACTTCAGTCTCCGAGCCTCCAGACTGGGCCGGGCCTGGCTCAGCCCTGACTCCCCTGACCATGCCGAGTCTTCCCTTTCAGCATGACCCCCGAGGTCTCCTTGCCTGGAGTGTGTGAATTCTTCGAGTCTCAGTCCAAGCCCACCTTCTTTCTCCAGGAAGTCCTCCGAGACTGCTCCTGGCCCCTGACCTGGAAGTCGCCATCCCTGCTGTTCATGGTCTGGCCTCCCTTTCCCCACACAACAGAGCTTTTCTCAGGGGCATGTGGGGGTGCTCCCATGTCTGCTTGCTTGCCTGCTGCTGGACAAGAAGGGATGGGAGGGGGGCTTTGTCCCCGAGGGAGCCTCGCAGAGCAACGAGATGCCCGTGACTTCCTTCCCTTCTCTGACCTTGGCCCATCTCAGGGCTGCCCCTCCCCCCACCCCGAGGACTCGAGGGTCTTACCCAGTGAGGCGGCGTGCAGGAGGCAGTTCCCGTCCCCCGTCGTGGCCAGAGGCAGGAGCCGCTTGCAGCTGGTGCACACGGCCGACCACCAGTTCAGGCGACCTGTTGGGGGGGGCGGGTGAGGGCCTGGCCAGCAGGAGGCCCCACCCCTGGGTGCCCACGAACCCCAGCCTTTGGCTGTCTTATTCTCATCTCAAACCCAGGTTTCCCTCTTTCTCTCCTTTCTTTCATTTTTGCAGGGGGAGCGGGGGTGGGAGGGAACCACACCTGGCGTGCTTGGGGCTGCCTCCTGGCTCTGCACTCAGGGATCACTCCCGGCAGTGCTTGGGAGACCCTGTGGGGTTCTGGGGCTTGAACTGGGTCAGCTACATCCACGGCAGGTGCCCTTCCCCATCCAGCACTCTGGCCCCTCAAGTACAGATGCTATTTTTTCAAATACAGATTTAAGATCCCTCTAAGATATGCAAAAAGAGGCAAAACTCTTTCATCCTTTTCCTATTTATTTATGTAGTGCTTAGGATCTTAGCAGTAGGTAGGGCATTTGCTTTGCACACGGCCGACCTGGGTTTGATTCTTCATCCCTCTTGGAGAGCCCAGCAAGCTACCGAGAGTATCCCGCACGCACGGCAGAGCCTGGCAAGCTCTCCGCGGCGTATTCGATATGCCAAAAACAGTAACAACAAGTCTCACAACGGAGACGTTACTGGCACCTGCTTGAGCAAATAGATGAACAATGGGAGGACAGTGCTACAGTGCTTAGGATCACACCCAGTAGTGCTCAGGAGTGACCCCTGGTGGTGCTCAGGAGACCCTATGGGCTGCCCGGGATCAACCCGAGTCAGCCCTGGGAGGCAAGTGCCCTCCCACCGTCCTGTGGCTCTGGCCCCCTTCCTGGCACTTCTTGGCCAACCAGGTTGGTACCAGGCTTAATGTGAGGGTCCAAGGCCATGCTCGTTGTGCTCAGGGGTGCCGGGTTGTACCCGAGACAAATTTAAGGGGAGGGAGCAAGTCCAGTGAGTCGCACACACGCTTTTCATGCAGGAGCTTTCGGGGGTGGGTGGGTGGGTGATTCCCAGCACCAAACCCTGAGCACCGCCAGGCAGGGCCCCAACAACCCCCAACACCCCCCAACCCTTATGGGGTAGTGCCCAGAGTTAAGAAGCTCTCGCGTATGAAGACACAATTAATAATAAGGCACGCGTGACCCTACACATGTCATGAACCAACGTGTCTTCAACGACAAAATCGAAGGCAGTTAAGAATTTAGGGGCCAGCGAGGCAGGACCGCGGAGAGGGCACTGGCCTTATACACGGCTGACATGGGTTTGCTTCCCGACACCCCAGAGGGTCCCCCAGAGCCCCGCCAGCAGAGATCTCTGAGCCCAGCTGGGCGTGGCCCCCAAACCAAACCCCTGCCCCGAGAATTTTTTTTCGCATAAGGGGCAGAACTGCTTTCAAGCAAACAAGTATGAACCAGAGCGCCCACAGCCTGTGGGCGAGATGGAGCATGAGGGAACCCCTCCCCCGTCCCCCAAGCACCTCTGCAGGTCAGAGGTCAGTGGCTGTGTGGAGGTGACCTGAGACTCAGGTGGCCCCGGACTCTGTAAACTGCATGTTTCTGCTCCGCAGCATTGTTGGGTGACAAACGCAGGATCTACTTTTTAGTGACGCTTCTTAGGTTTCATTTGCCTCGCACTGGGCTGATTCTGACAGACACCCGTGTGAAAATGTGGCCCCAAATGGAGCAGATGAGCACGTACCATAGGTGATGCTGGCAGGCAGAAGGGGTCTCCGCTGACAAGCCCCTGATTAAGGCTCAGCCAGGGAGGTGGGCAAGGGCCTCCACTGACCAGGAAGGCCTATCGGGTCAGAACCGGACACAACCCGCCTTTCCTCCTGGCTGAGAAGCAGGGGCTGGTCGCGACTGCTTTGCCATGGGCTTTTCTGGGCCATACCCGATGGTGCCCAAGGGTTCCTCCTGGCTCTGCACTCAGGAATCACTCCTGGCGGTGCTCGGGGAACGCTATGGGATGCCAGGGATCAAACCGGGGTCGGCTGCATGCAAAGCGAATGCTCTACCCGCTGTGCTCCTGCTCAGGCCCAGACACAGGCTGTTTTCAACACAGATGTTGGGATCTGCTAAAGCTGAGGGGGGCACAAAAGTGGAGAAAACGCTGCGATTTCCCTGCTTGCTGGGCAGAGGAGTCGAGAGTGGCCATGAGCCCTGACAGGACAGCGTCACGTGTGTCCTGCCCTGGAGTGACCAGTCAGCGATCTGTAGGAGGAGCTGGAGCCCGCGCCCTTGAGAGAGCCCTGAGCTGGCACGGGGCCCCCCAGAGAGCGAGACACTGCAGACTCCTCTGGTCAGATGGACCCATGGAGGCCGAGAGGGAGGGGGGAGACACAGTGAGAGAGACAGACAGACAGACAGACAGAGACAGAGAGAAAAGAGAAAGAGAGAGACTGAGAGAAACAGAGAGAGAGAGAGAGAGAGGAGATGGAAGGAGTACACTCATCTTTCAGTTCCTTTTGCAGATGTGAATATTCCAGAAAAAACTGCCAGCCAGCAGGTGCTTCCCGCAGCTGACCCTGCAGCCGACCCCGCAGTCGACCCTGTAGCTGACCCCATGGGCCTTCCTGGTGGCTAGAGGAACCCTAAGAGAATGTGCTCCCTGGCCCCCAATCCGGGCTTAAACTGGGCTGAGCGTGCAAGCATCTGGCGTTGAGGAGCCTCAACTTTCAGCTTGGGAGGGGTCTGTGTGGCCCCCAGTGCCTTAGAGCCCACAGGCGGGGGCTCCCACCCAGTGTCCTGGGAGGCTCTGGGGGCTCGGGGCTGATGGTGGGATTCTGCCTCATTTCTCCTGCTCCAGGCAGAGCTGAATGCTGCGGCCAGCAGGAGCGAACTTGGGGATGCCCGTCCTGCCCGGGCTGGACTTCTGGGGGCTCTCATTCTGCCTGGCCTCTGCTGGGTTCCTCCCACATGCTCCCACCCCAGACCCTCCCTACCACCCCCTCCCCCACCTCCACACCCCACATCCCCTACATCTTGCACACCTCCTCACTCCCTCTCACCCCGCCCTCACCCCTTTCCACGCCCCACACCACCCCACCCCCCAAACATCCCACGTCCTTCCACACCCCGTCATGCCTCCTGCACACCTCCCCACCTCCTCTCACCTTCCCACACCCCACACACTCTCCAACCTCCAACCTCCCCCCCCATACAAAGTCAGGACCCTCCCAAACCATCCCTGAGGATGAAGGTCGGAAATTCTTTCCCCTTGATTAAAAGAGCTAAATTTGGGCCAGAGAAATAGTACAGTGGGGAGGGTGCCGGCCTTGCATGTGGCCGAGCTGTATTCCATCTCCCGCATTTCACATGGTCCTTTGAACACTGCCAGGAGTAATTCCTGACTGCAGAGCCAGGAGGATGTCCCTGAGCATCTCTGGGTATGGCCCCAAAACAAAAAGAAAGAAAGAAACAAACAAAAGCTACATTTGTCTTTCTGACACAGACCTTGCCTCAGTTTCAAAAGAACAACAATACTACAAAACTTCTCTAGGAAATATTGTTAACTCCTGGCTTGGCTCAGATTTACGTTAGAATTGATTTGTGGCTTGGGGATTCTGAGCCAAGAAATCAACATAAAACTCGGTTATGGGAGAGTAATTTCCCCTGGGATTCTGGCATGAGCAAACACATCTCTCAACAAAGGGCCACACTAAATCGCTACAGAGATGCCACAAAATTGCCCTGCTCATAACGGGAGCCACTAACCCAAAGGAACACTGGCAAAGAGATCAAAGTGTAAATCAGCAGTTTATTGATTCTTAGGAACTTGAGGTTAAAAAAACATCCGCTAGACAATTATGTTTAATTCTCTTTTCCCCCCATGGGGACAAATCCGGCTATGCTCAGGGCTTACTCCTGGCTCTGTGCTCAGGAGACAGAGTGGTGTCAGGGGTTGGATCAGGGTGTACCATGTACAAGATAAGCACCTTAAGTCCTGTCCCATCTCTCTGCCTTTTTAATTTTTTGCCACATCTGGCAATGTTCAAGCCTGACTCTGTGGCTCTGACTCAGGAATTACTCCTAGTGGGGTTTGGGGGACCCTATGGGATGCCGGGGATCAACCCTGGGTTGGCCACGTGCAAGGCAAACACCCTACATGCTGTGCTATTTCCAGTACCATTTTTTTTTTAAAGAATGAAATAAAACACACAAAAAAACTTAGAGACAGATCTGGAAAACAAAGAGAGAACTTACACTGAAGAAAATTTAAAGAAAAGAAACCTCTGGGGGCTGGAGAGATAGCACAGCGGGTAGGGCGTTTGCCTTGCACGCGGCTGACCCGGGTTCGAGTCCCAGCATCCCATATGGTCCCCTGAGCACCGCCAGGAGTAACTCCTGAGTGCAGAGCCAGGAGTAACCCCTGTGCATTGCCAGGTGTGACCCAAAAAGCGATAAATAAATAAATAAATAAAACCCCTCTGTATCCATTTAATACCAAAAGAAAAGGAAGAAAGACCGAGATAAGTCAGAAGAAATCACACAGAGGGCCTGGAATGATAGTTGATCCTCAGCACCTCATAGGGTCCCCACAGCACATCAGGGGTGATCCCTGAGCAAAGTCAGGAGTCAGCCCCGAGCACCAAGTGAGACCCTAAGGAGTTTTTTTCCCAAGCAAGGCAGAGAAATACATCCACAGACTGAATAAGTCTAAGATAGTTCAAACAAGAAAAATGATGTGAATCTGTGTGTTGAAGCTGTAGAATATGAGGGAGAGAGGAGAGAAGGAGAAAAGTTGAGGGCAGCGTCCACAGGCTTCTGAGTGGACACTGTGGGCCACAGAAGCCCACGGAACAACAACCTCGATGGATAGCAGGGGCTCGGGACATAACTCAAAGGACAGGACTCATGCTGTGCACACACGAGGTCCTAAGGTCAGCCCCTGGCACCACCTGGCCCCTGAGCATCACCAGGGGTGGCCCTGGGGGTGTCCAGCACTGCTGGACTCTAGCATCTGCTATGTCACCAGGCCGGGTCACTGAAACACCTCATCGGGTGTCTGTTACCAAGACCGACCCCCGAATCCCCTGGGCTTTGCCTGAGAGGTCCCCAAAAGAAAATAAAAAAGGACACTATGCAATGTCCCAAATACAGTGGTCAGCAGAAATGATTTTCAGAAGTGGGGCAGTGTGGTGGGGGGTGGTGGTGGTGAAACAAAGACATTTTCAGACGAGTGAGATTGGAGAGGGTCTATCAAGAGTGTGGAAGACTGAACTTCACGCGGGGGGCAGGCAGGGGAAGGAATGCAGAGGAACAGGAATGGAAGCACGGCACGCGGCGGGAAACGCCAATGGTGACATCACAATCAGGAGGTGGGCGCCCAAAATGAAACGAGTGAAAGGGCCCCTGTGGCCGGGTGGGGTGGGGGGGAAAGCTGATGATTAATTGAGGATGTGATTCATCAGTGTGCTATTTTGAGGACTGCCTCTTAATGACGGGAAGGGAGTCTCACACGCCCGGCTGAGGAGGGGCGGAGGGAAGCGACTCACCACGTCTCGATGACGCCACGGCTTGGAAAGAGGGGCCTGTCACGCAGAATGGGGACAAGCCATGGGCACGTTGGAAAAACAAATGCGCTGATTTTAAGACTGAATCGAGTACATAGTGTGTACGCTTAAAGCACAGAGCCACAGGGATGCTAACGGCCCAGTCTGGCAAAGGCGACATCAGGCACTTTCTGACCGGAAGGGACAAGATGAGACCAATGGGAAGGAACAGAGCAGTGACAGAGTGAAAAAGATCCTCTTTCCATAGCTAGTGAGCCAGTTCATGAAGAAGAAAAGAACTTTAGTTACCGCTTTTACCAACCTAGCCTGAGATTTACAGAGGACTAAAAAACCATTTAGACGAAAGGAGCGGTGGGCAGGGGCACCATCTTTATGGGAAATGCATCGCTCGAAGGGACGGAAAGAGCACATAACAAGCAAGCATGCAGGCTGAGACCTCCAGATCTTCTCAGTTATAGTCCAGATGGGCGGATTCTAGACCGCAGGGGTGCCACCCACCCCTCAGCGGGACAAGAGTCACCTGTGATTAAGCGCCAGCGAGGTCCTGGGGTGGGGACTGCTTCTGCTCTCTCCTCTCCCCTCCTCTCTTCCTCCATCCCTCCGTATCCATCTCCCCCTCCCTCCCTCCCTCTCTCTCTCTCTCCCACTTGCCACCCCTTCTCTCTCTCCAATCCTTGTTTCTCCAACCCTCTCCCCATTGTTCACTGCTGAATTTAAATCACAGCAGTGGGGAGCCAAGCCCCAGAAAAAGGGAAAAGGACCAGGCCAGACCCGTCTCAGAGCACCGGGCGGCTAAACTAGAGCTTCTCACAGCTCCTTGTTGGAGCATCTCAAGCGCCTAAGTCCTTTTCCCTCTCCTGGCAACATGGCAAGGCCAGGCCCCAGTGACACGGGCCAAGGGCATCGGGGGGCCCCGAGGGGTCCCAGAGGGTGCAGGTTGGTGAGACTCTGACAGGCAGCGAGTGGGAGCCAGCTCCATCTCAGCCTTTCTCCGACCTATTCTCCCTGTGGCTGCTCCCAGCAGTCCACTGCTGCCATGGCCCCCTGGCTGAGAAACACGCTCAGAAGGAACCAGGTGCTGGAGTGTGTGTGTGTGTGTGTGTGTGTGAATGTGTGTATGTGGACACCCATGAGTATGTCACTGTGTATGCATGAGTGTGTGTTGTGTGAATGTGACCGGGTGTAAGTGTGAGAATGCGTGTGTACGTGGATGTATGTGCGTGCGGTGTGAGTGTGTGTGTTTATATAAGTGTATATATGTGATTGTAACAATGTGCACATGTGAGACCATGTGTGAGTGAATGTAACTGTGTGTGAGAGTGTGTATGCGTGTGCGTGCACTGAAACTGTAGGCGTCGATGTGAGTGGATGTGTGTGATGAGTGACTGTGCGTATGTCACTGTGTGTGTGTCTCTGTATGTGGATGTGTGCATGTGCATTGTGTGTGATGAGTGACTGTGTCACTGTGTGTGTCTGTGTGTATGTGCACTGTGTGTGGGTGCTTACGTGAGTGTATGTGTGTGACTGTGTACATGACAGCATGTGTGTGAGTGTGTCTGTGTGCAAGCTCCTCAGGAAATCGGAGGCTTTGCTCCTGATCTCCGCACCACCCTCCCCGCCCCCTAGTTCCGGCCCAGGCTGCAGTTGGTGCCCCACATTGCTCAGAGCTGAGCGGGGGAGCCAGGTGACAAGCTCATCCCTGCCCACTCTGTCCTTCGCCCACTCTGCTGCTCCCGCCCTCATCCTTTGCCCAGTGGACGCCACGTCACAAACTTCACAGGACTCTTGGGCTCTGCTGCTTGGGGCTCTCTGGGGCCCCCAACCTGTGTGGAATGGGCTGCATTCTCAGGGGGCAGGCTTGAGCTTTCTCCTTGGGCGATCTCTGCGGCGCAGCTGGGATGCAGCCAAGAACCTGCAGTGCCCACGTGGCCTAGCGGGGTCAGAACCACAGCCGTAAGCCGCTCCCAGGCCGAACTGGGTCTTCCTGCCTTTGCCTGACCTCCCCTAAACACAGCCCGTCTCTGAAACTCTGCCTTTGCTAGGGCGGCCAGGCCCAGCTAGGCCCCCTCCTCTGACTCCCTTGGTCGAGGGGAGGTATGGTGGGCTGCAGAGGGGCCCAAAGTCTCCCCCGAAGCCCCCAAGACGGGACTGTGTGAGGCTTCACAAAGCAGCTCACAGGGGGCTTCTGTCAGCATGTGTCTGGGAGGGACAGGCACCTGGGGACAGGAGGCAGCTCTCCCTGCCCAGGCACCAGGGCCAGACCCGGGGGCTTCCCCGGCCCCTTGTGGAGGATGTGGCGGCCTCACCTCCGTCCCCGCCCCACCTGGCCTCTTCCTCATGGGGACACCAGCAGACGCAGAAAGGAACAGGAGGGGATGAATGTCAATGCGAAGGCCCCGGGCACCTGGGTGCCAGGGGCTGAGCCATGCGGTTATCTCTCCAGCCGGGGCCTTGCCCGGGGCTACAGCAACAGGTCTGCCCCATGCTACCAGTGCCCTCCACCTCATTTTCTAGACACATCTGGGAAGAAAAGGGCAGCACGGGAGGTGCCCACATATTCAGCCAGTGCCTGCATCCACAGCGCTGAGCTGGAGGGGGGGGGGCAGCTGCCGGGTGCCCGGCCAGGCGCCCGCACTCACCTGCCTGCTCCAGTGCCGCCATGGTGGCCTGCTCGATCAGGTCCCGCTCGATGAAGCTGCGGAAGTCCTCGCTGTACACGCTCAGGTCGGGCAGCTGGAAGGTGTAGATGGGCATCTCCAGCGGGAACTCGCTGCTGCACTCACTCGCCACGTGCGAGCGCGCCAGGGATACAATGGCCGAGCTGGCGTGGGAGATGCCCCGGGAAAGGCGCTTCTCTGCAGGGAGAAGGAACAGGATGCGGGTGGCTCTCAGCGTGCACACACACGTGTAACATGCACATGGCAGGGGGAGGGGCACACGGCTGAGGGCACACATGTGACACACATGTGGCTAGGGGCACACGTGTTATATGTACATGGCTACGGTGCACACATGTGATACGCACACAGCCAGGGTGCACATGTGGGACATGCACATGGCCAGGGATCACATGCGTGACACACACATGGCTAGGGCGCACACACGTGACATGCACATGGCCATGGTGCACACGTGTGACATGCACATTGCCATGGTGCACACGTGTGACATGCACATGGCCAGGAGCACATGTGTGACACACATGGCCAAGGAGCACACACGTGACATGCACATGGCCATGGTGCACACGTGTGACATGCACATTGCCATGGTGCACACGTGTGACATGCACATGGCCAGGAGCACATGTGTGACACACATGGCCAAGGAGCACACACGTGACATGCACATGGCCAGGAGCACATGTGTGACATGCACACGGCTGTGGTGCACACACATGACATGCACGCAGTCACAGTGCAGATGCATTACATACAAACATATGGCCAGGTACACACACATGACACAAACAGTCACGGGGGACACGTGACACAGCCACAGTGCCTGCACATCTGTGCGTGCGTGCGTGTGTGTGTGTGTGTGTGTGTGTGTGTGCGCGTGCTGCTGGTGTGCGCTCCTGTGCACATGTGCTGGTGCATGGGTGCTTTGTGTATGTGGTGCTCCAGTGTCTGTGCATGCCCCTGTGCCTGCGCCACAACCCGCAGGATCCTCATGTGCCCCTGCACCCCTCGAGGCCGTGCTGGGTACCTTGGGCGATGTCGTCCTGCCTCTGTGTGCACGGCCTGTCCACCTTGTACCCCGGCTGGGGCAGCTCACGCTCCGGCTGCTTGAGGCACCTGCCCTCGTTGAACACATGTGGCAGGTTGGCTGTGTGCACCTGTCGGAGCTGCTCATAGTCACTCAGAGCGGCCGTCAGGTCCCAGTTCTTGCCTGCGGATGAGAGAGCAGACGGATTAGCCCGGGAGGCAGCAGGAGCTCGCCAGTGGAAGGCCCGCGTGGCCTGGCGCATGGTGTCTAGAAGGAAAAAAGTTTTGTTTTTAGACATCCCCTGGCTGGCACCCCGGGGCTACACCCCTGGCTTTGTGCTCAGGGGTCACTCCCAAAGTTTCTGGGGACCTGCAGTGCTGGGGAGTGACCCAGGCCCCCAACATGCACTCTGGACTATTGAACCGTTTCCTGGCACTGGAATGAATTCACAGCCATGACAATATCACAGAGACGTGGGGCTGTCTGTCGGCTTACAGCCCGATCTCTCCCTCTCTCCCTCCCTCTCCCTTTCTCTTTCTCCAACTCTCCATTTCTTTCTCTCCCCTTCAAAGAATCACAGCTAATGATCAAAGCCTGCATGAGATAAGCTATCCAGTGGCCCTGTACAAGCCAAAATAAAATAAAACAGAGCCATGTAAGAAATCTCAAACTTGCTTTGGGCTTTGGCCCCGCATCTCTCTTTCTCTCCAGCAGGATATGGGGAGACAGCATTCCGTGCCGAGGGGCTGGGGGCGATGGCGGGCTTAGACGGGGCGCAGGGAAGAGGAGACTCTGCTGCAGGCCGTGACTGCGGAATGTGGTAGACCGGGAACCACCCCACGATGCCTCCGGTAAAATGAAGACAACCCCCAAGTTAGGGGAGTTACAGGGTGGGGGGTTCACAGCATCCGCTCCCAGGCTGCCCCTCCCTGCCCTCTTCCTCTTGCTGACCACAGTCATCCAAACTTCCAGTCACAAGATGAACAGCTTTGGGGATCATAAGAAATCCAGGTGGAGCAGAAAACTAAGAGGGAAGCAAACAGCAGGGAGAGAGAAGAGGGCCAGGCAACAAAGTTGTCAGATGCATACTTGGAAAGAATCGTGATGAATATGTTACAGCGTTTGGGCAAGAACTGGAAAAGGTGAAAGTGCTGAGTAGAAACTCCAGAACTGAAAATTGGAAAAGCTAAACCAGAGAACTCTGTGAGACACCCAAGAGCTGACTTGGTGCCCAGGAAGAGAGAGTGAATAAACGGGAAGGGAGTTCAGGAGAAAGATGACAAGACGGACAGACGTGCAGGTGAGGGGGTCAGAGAGGGAAAACAAGATGCTCGAGAATACAGAGAGAAGCAAAGATGCAAACTCGTGCAGCTGAGCCTGAGAAAGAGAGGAGGACAGGGCTGGAGCAACAGAACAGTGGGGAGGGAGTTTGCTTTGCATGTGGCCAACCCAGGGTTGATCCTCAGCATCCTACAGGTCCACTGAGCACTGCCAGAAGTGATCCCTGAGCATAGAGCCAGGAGTGAGCCCTAAGCATCCAAGATGTGGTCCCCAAACAAACAAACAAACAAACAAAAATGAAAGAGGGCAGGGCAAAAGTAATCTTTAAAAAAAGGCAGTGACCTAGACTTTTCTGGAAGGAATGGAAGATAGCAGTAAGAGATTCAAAGGTGTTCAGAGAAATCCAGGTGGGTGGACAGGATATAAGGAAAACAGAGGCAGACACAGTAAAGTTGCTGAAAATCTAAGAAGACGTGCAAAAAATTTAGAATCTGGGGGGTGGAGGCGGGGGAAGACACATTACCTTCCAATGAGTAACAAGACAGCTGACTTCACAATGGAAATAATGAAGGCCGGGAGAAAATGGAATATCCTCACCACGCTGAAAGAAAATAAATGCTGGTCTAGAGTCTCAGATCTTGTGAGCATTGTCCTTCCCATGTGAAATACGAACTTAAAAGTGTATCAAGACAAAGAAGATCCAAGAGCAGGTGTTGCCACGGGTCACACTGAGGCAAATACTCATACGTGTCTCTCTTTTGGCCGAAGGAAACCATTCTGGATCTTGGTTCTGGGGTGCAGAAAAGAATAAAGAGCAAAGGGAAGTTTCTCTCGGTGAATACTGACATCACAGAAAAAAAGTATTTATTTACAGGATTTGAAAAGGCATCAACTCGTGGTGGTATACAGGTATACCATGGGCAGGAGGAGATAAATGGAGATAAACTGTTAAGTTCCTGGAAGGGTCCGAGATTTAGCAAAAGTATTGTTGGAGGGAAACTACTGTGAAAGACACATGTTTAAATCTCTGCAGGAACTCTTAAGAGAAGTGTGTCACATGTACCAAGCATGACTTACATTCCAGACTCTGCTGGGCATGTCCCACAGTGCTCCAGAGATCACGAGAAAACAAGGAAACATGCGACCCAGCACAGCATCACTACAATCTACCAGGAGCTGATCCTGCAGACACGGAGATCTGTGATTTACCCAACAAATCATTCCCTGTGTTTTCTGGAAGGGCAAGGGGCCACGGCACGCCCAGAAAGACAATGAGCAATATGGGGCAAACAAAGCATCCCGCCCAAGAAAAGCATTAAGTCGGAAAGGAAAATAGTCAGGAAGGAAAATATAATATTAAGGAAGCTACAAAATAGCCAGACGAGAAAGCTCCTTGCCAAGCAATAATGGCTTTAAATGCGAATGGGTTGAATTCTCTCACCTAAAGGCACAGTGTGTCCAGTTAAGAAAAGAAACCCAAATAGACAGACTCATTTCAGCATCAAGGATAGTCTTGGGCTCAAAGATAGGAGGGAAAAGGTCTTCTGTGCAACTGTGAGTAAGAGAGAGCACAGGCGACCCCACTGACACGAGGCTGGAGGGAATTAAGCCCAGATGGTAAGTAGAGGCAAAAAGGGTCATTATATAGTGAGGAAGAGAGTGGAAGCCCAGGGCAATCACTAGGGCACATGCACCCAGCATGACTGTACCTACACAGATCTAGCAAGCACTGGTGCCTTAGGATGGAGAAATAGACAAAAAGAATCATGGCAGGTCAATGGATTTATCATAGGCACAGAAATAAAAAAAGCAAACAGACTAGAACTATATTTAAAACTCACAGAGACTAACAGAAAGCAAAGACATCACCCAAGCAATAGGACAGCAGAGGGGGCATTTCCCTTCTGGCCAACCCAGGTTCGATCCCTGGCATCTCATAGGGTCCCCCAGCACTGCCAGAAAGGATCCCTGAATGCAGAGCCAGGTGTAAGCATTGCTGGGTGTGGCCCCCCCAAACAAAAACAAACAAAAAGAAGACACTGCAACTGCACCACAGACACACAAAGGTTCCAAACCAACTGGGTAACCCTCAAAAAGTGGACGAGGTTCTGGTGACATTCAGCCGACCAAGCATGAATAATGAATGTGGAGAATAAAGAGAGAGCAACATATTTTTCACTAGTCAGAAGTCAAAAACCTGCCCCTGATGTGAATCCCAAGACCATGTTCTTTCACTTGTGAGTTCCATCAGACATTCACAGAAAAGTCCACATCCTTCCTCTGAAAACCCTTCCACGACTGCAAAGGAAATACTCCGAAAACCCACGAGACCAGCACAACCTGCTCCCCATACCCAGTTCAGGACCACCCTGGAGACTAGGCACAGGTTGATGCAAACAACTGGGACAACAATCCTGCCAAGCCAGATTCCAGAGCAGACGGAAAGGCTCCTGCACTCCATCAGTGTGGGGCTTATCTCTGAGCTGCGGGACTGATCACAGGACACGCCAATGCACAGAAGGAGAGGCTGGGTCCTCTGATGTGCCAGGGAGTGAGGCCAAAGGGCTGAGGTCAAGGTCCTGCACTGCTAGCTTGCCCACACAACCGCCACATGTGGGCCCAGCACCACACCTCCCGGCTTCACCACACAAGGCCAGGCATGCCCAGTCAGACTGAGCACGGCTGAGAGGGGCCCTGGGGCCCTGTGTGCACTGCAAGGGGCACCAAAGAACCCTCCCCCCCACCCCCCAATCCACTCGGTGATCTCAAACATAAAGAAAAAACACATCTGCGGGACGTGGAGAATGTCACGCTGGGTGAAACAAGTCAGAGGGAGAGGGAAAGACAGAGAATGACTGCACTCATTTGTGGGACATAAAAACGAGTAATATGAGACCAACACCCATGGACAGCAGAAACAAGGGTCAGGAGGACTGGTCCACGGGTGGAAGCCTGCCACAAATGTAAGGGCATGGTGGGGAGGGCAGTTAGGATAGAGAAAGGACCAGCATGACAGTAATACTTGGAAATTATCACTCTGGACAAGAACTGACAAGTAGATAAAGGGATATGCTTAATTTACTTTCAGTATCTGTACTGCCAGAGTCTCGTTTGTTATTTGCCTTACAAGCGGCCAACATGGCCGACCTGAGTTTGATTCCTCCGCCCCTCTCGGAGAGCCCGGCAAGCTACCGAGAGTATTCGATATGCCAGACACAGTAACAACAAAGTCTCCAATGGAGACGTTACTGGGCCCGCTCGAGCAAATCGATGATCAACGGGAGGGCCTTTACCTTACCTAAAGTGAAGTACATGTGAAAGGGGCTGGAGCAATAGCACAGTGGGTAGGATGTTTGCCTTCCAAGTGGTTGACCTGGGTTCGATTCCTCCGCCCCTCTCGGAGAGCCCGGCAAGCTACCGAGAGTATCTCGCCCGCACGGCAGAACCTGGCAAACTACCCGTGATGTATTCGATATGCCAAACACAGCAACAATAAGTCTCATGACGGAGACGTTACTGGGCCGGCTCGAGCAAATCGATGAACAAGGGAGGACCATGATACCATGATATCTGTACTGCAAACAGTAATGCCCGCAAGAAGACAGGAAGAGAGAGAGTGAGAGAGAGAAACAGAGAGAAAGAGAGAGAAAGAGAGAGAAAGTGCCTGTCATAGAGGCAGTGGAGGGGGGGCAGGAGGGAAACTCGGGACATTGGTGGTGGGACATGTGCACTGGTGAAGGGATTGGAGCACTTTGTGACTGAAGCCCAATCACGAACATCCTTGCAACTATATCTTATGGTGATTCAATTAAAAAACAGGAAGAAAAACACATCTGATAAAACATAACATCCTTTGATGAGAAGAAATCAAGAAATCAAGAAATGGCAGATGGACGGGATGTCTGAACATCATGAAGACCCACAGGTCAGGGGCTCCAAGAACCTTCGTGCTCACTGGGGGATGTTTGCTTTTGAGTCAGGCTTGAGGCAGGGCTGTGCACGGCAATACTCCTTTAAACATGGCTTATTGCAGGAGTTACAACAGTATTTAAGTCACTACACACCACTGCCATGGAAATGCCCACGGCTGTCCACCCTGTGCCCGTGTCACCTCGGGTCCCATTTTCAGTCCCCAGTAATGACTCTCAGGGTCCAAACCCTGAGCCCTCATGCCGGCACTGCCAGGTTGAGCACTGGGGACAGCGGCCTCTCCCCACCCGGAGGACCCCCAGGGTATATCTGGCCCACAGGAATCTACAGAGTGGAGGGGGGTCCTGTCAAAATAATCACTGCATAATTTTGTGATTCCTGAGAGGAAAGAGAACAAACAATTCTAAAATTTGGGGAGAACCACAGAAGACCCAGATAGAACAATTCTGAAAGCCAAGAATTAGGGAGCGCTGGGCTCCCTTACTACAGCACAGAGCAACTGTGACGATGGAGGGGCTGGGCCCAAGGATCCCAAGGGTCAGCGATGAGGCAGCAATCTCTCCTTCCCTCTCCCTTCCTCCCTGCCCTTCCCTCCCTCTGTCCCCCCTTTCCCCTCCCTCCCTCCCTCCCTCCCTCCCTCCCTCCCTCCCTCCCTCCCTCCCTCTCTTTCTCTCCCTCCTTCTGTCTCCCTCTCTCCCTCCCAGTCTCTCCCTCTCCCTTTCTCTCTCCCTCTTGCTCCCTTCCTCTCTCCCTTCCTTTCTCCCTCCACCTTTCACCCCCACCCCTCTCTGCCATCCAAAGAAAAGGAGGAACAAACAATCAACAGAGCTGAAAACCAGCAGAAATAAGGAAGTGAAAATTAGGGTGGACATAAAGGAGGTAGAAACCTGAAACTCATTTCCAAAGGATCAATGAAACCAAGAGCTGGAACTTTGAAAGGAGCAATAAAATTGATGAGCATATGGCCAGGCCAAGGACGCTTGCCTTGTATTACTTGCCAGCTAGCCCGGGTTCAATCCCCAGCATCCCATATGGCCCCTGAGCACTGCCAGGAGTGACCCCTGAGCACTGCCAGGTGTGCCTGCCCCCTGCAAAAAAAAAAAAATTGCTGAGTAGTAGAGGACCCATAAGACTTAAGCCCAAATTCATAAAAAAAAACAACCTTATAGAATCAAGAGGCAAATCTTCATTGATAATGCAGAAAGAGAGGATTCTAAGAAGTAACTGAAAATCTACAAGCAAACAAAATAGAAAATCTTAAGAGAAACGAATAATGCTTAAAAACCTTGCAACTTTCCAAGACTGAGCGGATAAGAAACCCTTGTCCACTGGGTCAGACATTGGCACAGCCATTACATGTTTCCTGTGAACAAAGGCCCAGGGCTAGGTAGCTTGACTCGTGGATTCTACAAAACGTTCAGAGAAGAAAAAATTTCTTGTTCAGAAACTTCAAAATCACAGGCAGGGACACCCCAGAGACACACCGAGAGGCCAGGACCAAGGGCACGAAATGGAAAGTGGCAGTGGGTGTCTCTTTGACGAACAGGAAAGCAAAGACCCTGGATGGAACCTTTCTGACTGGCACACACGGGAGACTCATTCATCACGACCAAGTGGATTCGTGGCCCGGATAAAGAATGACACAAGCTGGACCCAAGGGACCATCTCCCTGGCTGTGGACTTGGAGGGTTTTGGACCATTTGCAATAGAAAGTCAGTCACTTGGTCTAATAGCACTGTAGCACTGTCCTTCGGTTGTTCATCAATTTGCTCAAGCGGGCACCAGTAACAAATTGTGACTTGTTGTTGCTGATTTTGGCATATCAAATATGTTGCGGGTAGCTTGCCAGGCTTTGCTGTGTGGGCATGATACTCTCGGTAGCTTACTGGACTTTCTGAGAGGGGCGGAGGAATTGAACCCAGGTTGGCCGTGTGCAAGGCAAATGCCTTACATGCTGTGTTATTGCTCCAGCCCAGGTCTAATAGTCACACACACACAAAAAAAAGCAAAAGCAAAAAAAAAAGCTTTCACTTCTGGGGCCTGAGAACTGGTTCAAGGGGTAGGAATGAGGGGCTGGATCGATAATACAGTGGGGAGGGCATTTTCCTTGCATGTAACTGAATCGGGTTTGATTCCAGGCATCCCACTGGCTCCCCTGAGCACTGCCGGGAGTGATTCCCTGAGTACAGACCCAGGAGTAACCCCTGAACCCCTGGTGTGACCCCAAAACAAAAACCCTCCCAACAACAACAACAAGAACAAGAGCAACACCAACAACAACTAAACCCGCACAAAGGGCTGGTTGCATGCCCAGGATTCAGGAGACCCTGGGTTTGATCACCCCCGCCAGGTGGCACTGGGCCTGAGCATCTCCTGTGAGCCCAAATAAGCCGGCCAAGCATTCCCAGGAGTGGACCCCAGAGTGGACCTCAGACTCCCATGGCCCCCAGCCCCTCCCCCCAAACCCCACTGCTCACGATCCCCCTAGGAAGGGGGGCTGCGCTCTGCATGAAAGAAGCGAAGTTGTGGTCGATTGTCCTCCAACTCCTGGTCACTGCGTGGTCAGGTGTGGCCCTGACCTCTGCTTCCAGCTGCCCGGCCACTCCCCCATGCCTCTGCTCCCCTGGATCAAGGAAAGGCACTGCACCTGTCCGGGGGGTTCGGTCTAAGTGAGGATCATCACCAGAAGATTCTATTCCACATCCTGCACTCGCCAGGAGCTTGGGAGGTTCTGGAGAAAGCCAAGCCGCCTCCAAGCACTGCTGCTGCCTCAAACCCCTGCAGCCCTTGCCACCACCACCAGAGTTGGCTCTGAGCAAGCATGCGGACGACACTCACACATGGGCTGACACAGGAAGTGCAGAGCTATTGGGGTGTCACCATTAACTGAGCACTTACTAATTCCAAAAACATCTGTGCATACATTTAAGCCTGAGTCATTCTTCTTCTTTTTCAAATTGTGTGTGTGTGTGGGGGGGGGCAGTGTGTGGGAGACATCTGGTGGTGCTCAGGGCTTGCTCCTGGCTCTGCTCTCAGGGGATCGAACCCGAGGCCCGAAGCTTAACCCCTGCCTGATCTCCTCGGCCTGGATTTCTGCCCTTTCACTGCCAGGAGCAGAATCCCCGATTCCATGCCCAGCAGTGAGTCAAGAATTAGAAAAAAACAATCCCTGATCCCCTTATTTTTCTCCCAAGTGCAAGCTGAATAGGCATGAGGGCCCGGCTGGAAGGTGGTGACCCCCAGCCTGTCCCATGGTGTTGGGGTGGGGGGAGGCCAGTGCTTACCCTCCAGTAGGTCTCTGGCCAGACCAGGTTCTGCCCCCGTGGACCGAACAAAGTCTGACAGGACCGCGTCCATATCAACAGTCATGGGGTCATGCAGAAGGACGGCCCAGCGCTCGGCCGAGGAGGGGGTCGGGAGCAGGCTGGAAACCATCCACCTGCGGGCAGAGAGAGACACAGCTTAGCGGGGAGCACCCACCTGCCACGCGCGGCTCTGGGAGAGTGGTTGTGCCTGAGGATGGGAGACGGCAGCGTCCGACTGAGCAGTGTCCCTCTGACAGGCACCTGAGACGGGCCGCTGCTCTGCGTGCCAGACTTACCTGCCGTGCTCGTCCACTCCCAGCATTAGCTGCCGAGGAACACTTAGAGCCCCGCCCGCCTGCCCTCCCTCCTTCCCTCCTCTCTCCCTCCCTTCTTCATTCCTTCCCTCCTTCCTCCCTCCCTCTCTTCCTCCTCTCTGCCCTCCTTCCCTTCCTCCCTTCATTCTTTCCTTTCACTCCTTCCTTCCCTTCCTTTTCTCCCTTCTTTCCTCCCTCCCTCCTTTCCTTCCCCACTACCTCCATCCCTCTTTCCCTCCCTTCCTTCTTCCTTCCTCCTTTCCTTCCCTTCCTCCCTTTCTTCCTTCATCCTTTCCTCCCTTCCCTCCTTTTTCTTTCCCTCCCTCCTTCCCCTCCTTCCTTCCTTTCTTCCCTTCCCTTCCCCTCCCTTCCCCTTTCCTCTTTTTCTTCTTGCCACACCCGGCTGTGGTTGAGACTAATCCTGGCTCTGCATTTAGGGATCACTCCTGGCAGGGCTCGGGGACCCTATGCAGTGCCATGGATTGAACCGGGGTCAGCTGCGTGCAAGGACAGTGCCTTCCCTGATGTCCTAGCTCTCTGACCTGGCACTGAGATCAGTGTGGGTCCATGATATTCTCAGTCCTCTCCAGCGCTAGTGGTGTGGGCTATTTCGACAATGTGGATGAACTGTGTTGATGACAGAGCCAGGATGTTCTTTCTGCAGCCACCAGGGGGCAGCAGACAATGACCCAGGGTTTAGCCTGCTCTGTCATTCTTAAAAAGAATCTGTGTACTATTTTTTCCCCTCATTTTTATTGTGGCATCATGATTGGCAAGACTGTCTAAAAAATGTCAGGTTCATGCTGTTGCTCTCTATCCAGTTGTATGAAAGCATCGATGTACCCACGGTGTATGGTGGCCTTTGCTTAGGGCAGAATCGAGGAATTGGAAGGACCTCCCCGAAGACCCAAGCCTCCCATGTCTCCCTGTCTGGCTAGAACCTGTGCTGACCGCCAGGCCAGGTGATGGGAGACTATAAACTTGCAAGCTGGTCACTGAGCGGTCAGTCTCACACGCCTGCCTCTGCTCCTGCTTTTGGGGGAAGCCTTTTCGCCGGGCTGGCTGAGGATGAGGGCTGGGCTGCCCTCTGGGGCGTCTGCACCATGCCTGCTGGCCTGAGGAGCCTCTGAGGGCTGTGCCAAGCTCTTGAATCTCTGGGACACACCTCGGCACCAAAAAAACGCACAAAGTGGCTTATCACAAGCTCTAGATATGGGAGAACGGGGGGTTCCGGTGGGGCTGGGGGCCCTGGGGACCTCAGCCAGTCCACGCTTGTGGCCCCCCCCCGCACATGAATCCTGCCAGGCCTGCTACCTGTGGCCAGTGTGACAAGAGAAGAAGAAAAGGATTTGACCTGATGTATGTGGGACCAATTAGGAAATGGCCTTCCTCCTTCTCTCTGGGACCACAGCCCGGGCTTGACTGGTGTCCCTCTGTCACCGGCACCTGCTGGAAAAGAAGAACCATGCATTACTTCGTGAGTTGGGGCATGACCCACCCTCCCTCGCCTTAGTAAGCTCCGATGCTTCCACCGCTCATGCCTGAGTGAAATTCTCACAGAAAACCTACACTGCAGCGAGGGGCGGCAAATCTGTTCGACCCTCCTCTGATTTAGGAACATTCCATTTCCCCAGCGAAAGGACACTTGAAGGATTCGCACGAGTCCAGATGGAGCAGAAGCAAAGGGCTCTCGGAGGCTGCGCAGACTTCACGGCCAAAGGCACAGAGGATTCGGGTCATAATCACTCTGAATATTGCTTTAGGTCTTCACTATTTTCTTCATTGAAGCAATGCCACGTGATAAAACCAGGGGTGCAGCCTTATCAATCAGACTGTGTCCAGCTCCACCCTTCACTTGCCAATGGAGGCTTGGACCTGACTTACCCTCTCCCCGCCCATCTGGTGGCCCCTAACTTAATAGTCTGTTTTTATTTTTATTTATTTCATTGTTGTTTTATTTGGGGGCCACACCCAGCGATGCTCAGGGGTTACTCCTGGCTCTGCACTCAGGGATTAGTCAGGCGGTGCTTGGGGGAGCATATGGGATGCTGATTCGAGCCTGAGTCGGCAGTGTGCAAGGCCACCATCCTACCTACTGTGCTATTTCTCCAGGCCTGTGTTTTCTGTTTTTAATGAACCACATAAAAATTCAAAACACCACAAGAATGAAATCACATGGCCTTACTTCATTAAACAGGAGACCTTCTAGAAAATATATATCTGCGTATTTCATTGCGTAAATATATATGTCTTCTTTACTCAAAGCGCCTAGAGGCCAGGGATTAACCGCTCACAGGAGAGCTGATGGAACCTTTCCTTGCATACGCCGCTTGGATCTACCTCTCCCCTCCCCTCGAAGTTTGGGCCACACCCTGCGGCTCAGGGTTTATTCCTGGCTCTGCACTCAGGGATCCCTTTGGGCCATTTTGCCAAGGAACCATGAGTGCTTTTGGAGAGCATAGCCACATAGGCCCGCGCTTTGCTGGCATGGGTGCCGCTACAGTTAGAGTGCGTGGGTCTTCCTAGTGGGCAAAGCTAACCAGCATCTTTGGAGAAGGATACAGGGTGAGTTCACGCTCTTATTTCCAACCTGACAGAGGATGTCGGAGTCTGTCCTTAGCCTCACCCATTTTATATCTGAACTTCATGCCGCTCTTCGTCTCTTAGTCCCTAATAACGGGGACGCTGGGCTCTCTCGAAGCCACCCAGCTATTCCTGAAGGAGCCCCAAGTTTCAGAAAACTGAGGGGGGCACTGGCACTGGCGGGATGCTTACAACAAGCACTATCAATTCGTCTGAACTCAGGAGAGATGCGCAAAGCATGTTGCGGTACAACTCACTTTCAAGTGGTTCAGGGACGGAAACAGAATACATTCACAAAATATATCTACAATGTGTGTGTATGCGTGTGCGTATGTACATGTGTGCATATGTGTATGTGTGCAAATATGTATGTGTGTTTACGTGTGTATATGTGTATGTGTGCGTGTGTATATGTATATGCATGTGTATGCTTGTGCCTATATGTTTGCATAAGGGTATGTGTGTGAATGTGTGTATGTGTGTGTATGTGTATGTGCCTGTGCATATGTGTGTTTGCGTATGTGTGTGGGGATAGGACCCGGGCCAGCTGCATGGAAGGCCAGGGCCTCGTCCATTGAACTATCTCTCTGGCCTGCCTTCTGCTTCTATTTGGTAGATTAGAAGTTTATCAAAAGGACCAGATGGCTGATTAGTCCGTGAAAAGGCATCTTTGCGGAGTCACAAAGTCAGAGACTTGCTATGTGCTATCAAAGGAACAAAATGGTATTTTGGAAGCAGTTTTTTTTTCTTCATTTTGGGTCATACCCGGCGATGCTCAGGGGTTACTCCTGGGTTTGCACTCAGTAATCACTCCTGGCGGTGCCCGGGGGACCAAACGGGATGCTGGGAATCGATCCTGGGTCAGCCATGTGCAAGGCAAATGCCCTACCTGTTGTGCTACTGCTCCTGCCCAAAATGGTATTTTGGGATGAGAATTAAAGGCACAATGAATAGTGAAAGAAATCCTTCTGGTTTGCTTTTGGGCCATACCTGACAGTGCTCAGGGCCGAGTCTTGGCTCTGTGCACAGGGAACACTCCTAGCAGGTGCAATGGATCCTATGGGGTGTTGGGGATGGAACTTGGATTGGCCTCGTGCAAGGCCAGTGGGGTCCTCCCCCCCCAAATGAGGTACCAGCCCTGAGGCAATCCTTGCAATGAGACTGGTTTCCCCTCCTTGGCAGGACCCTCGCGCCTCTCTTAACATCAGTCACGCTCGCATCAAAGATCAGGGCCACCAGACAAACATCACTCCTGTCCAACTGCTCACCAGTCACCACACCCCCGAGGCTCTTCTCGGGAATTAAGCTTGTGGCCACAAATGAAAACTCAATGTGAGCGTCACTAACTCTTCCTCAATGGACTTTCACGGACAGGTCATGCTGTCCAGGTGCAGTGCTGGACTGAAACCTGATTGCAGTCTCCCCAACCCGCAGTTACTCCATGTCAGAGGCGGCCACCCTGTACTTACTTTGCAGACACTAGGGCTCGCGGCGGGTGTGCGGGCCTCAGGCACGTGGGGTGGTGCCGCGTGGTTCCTTCCGCCGAGGGTCCATGGCTGGAGACAGAGTGAGACCACAGCACCCTGAGAACTCTGGAAAGGACAGCGAGAAGGAATGAGCATGCCCACTGGCTGTCCAGAGGGACACTTGACTCTCAGCAAGAACAACAGGTGGACCTGTAGTCGAGCATCTAAATAGTCAGATTTTCAGAGACGGTACAGCATGCATCTGACTTGGGTTCGATCCCCAGCATCACCTGTGGTTCCCTGAGCCCCCGAAGGAGTGATTTGCGAGTGCAGAGTTGGGAGTCAGCCTTGAAGTTCGTTAGGTGTGCCCCCAAACCAACCAACCAACCAACCAACCAACCAACCAACCAACCAACCCACCTCCCCAAATAAACATGAGTATTTAGCCTGTTATGCTGCCATTAGCTATTCGGTATGAACTAAAAGTGTGGATCCTGTAGTCCCCGAGACCCCCTCAGCAGCCCAGTCCTCCCTTTCAGTTTGAAATAAATGTGAACCCAGGGGGTCGGGGCAGCGGCTGCTCCCAGGAGACAGAGCCTCATGGCCCTTTTGGGAGAGACCCACAGACTCACAGTGTGAACCTCCAGGGCGGCAACCCTCACCTGTCCTATGCATGCGCGGTTCAGAATCTGAGAGTTCAAGGCTAACTTGCACCTTGATCCCCACGGGGTGGGTGCAGCTCGCCCCCTAGTGGCGGAGCAGGGAGTGTCACTACTGCAGTTATCTGCAGTTGTGTGGACGTGGGGGCGGGTTAGGTGGAGTTCCTACTGGTTAAAACCCTGAGGAATCTAGGAAGGCTGAGACTGTCCCGGTGAGGGAAGGGTGGGCCACACAGGGGTATGGTATCGCTCCCTCCTGCAGGGCTGAATCCTGTCTCTGGACAGAGCAGAGCTGGCCCAGGACAGAGGTCCAAACCAGGCATCTCTTTTCTTCCCTGTGACATCCCTGACCTGGGTGAATCATGCATTTTCATACGCAACTGCTTTATTTGCAACTTTGGGTCACTAACAGGAGCCGCCTGGTCCCTACCTTTCAGCAACATAATTTTTTTTTTTTTGCTTTATGGGTCACACCCAGTGATGCACAGGGGTTACTCCTGGCTCTGCACGCAGAAATTACTCCAGGCGGTGCTCAGGGAACCATATGGGATGCTGGGAATCGAACTTGGATTGGCTGTGTGCAAGGCAAACACTCTACCTGCTGTGCTATCGCTCCAGCCCAACATAAAATATTTTGATCTGGGTGACCTTTCCATCTTGAAGTCTCCGACACTACTTGGACAGCAGAACTAGTTTTTTTTCCCCTTTTGCCACATTGCTGGTTATATTTCCCCCATTTTGCCTTTATTTCTGAACCATTTTAGGTCATTCACTTCCACGGGGTCTTGAAAGAACCATCGTGACTCCATTCTGGAAAGCCAGACTCCATTCTGTGCCTCAGGGCCATGAGTTTGTAACCGAGTCAGGAAAACATACCAGACCCCAAGGGATGGGCATACACGCCAGACGTCTGACTACACATCACAAGGAGGGTTCAAGGAAATGTAACAAGATGTGCTAAGCCCTCTGTTTTGCCTCTGTCCCTCCACTTGCTTGCTCAAGGCCATGAGAATGCACCTGGCAGGGGCACTCAGACACGCAGGCAGGAGGGCAGAGGGTTTAAGTCTCTCCTGGAGGGCGATCAGGGTTCTGAGTCTCTTAGACTTGCGAACCCTCAGCATTGTCTGTACAGCTCGAAGTTCCAAGCCCAGGGAGGGGTCCCAAGCTTAAAAACCCTCAGCACTGAGGTCCTTGGAATGAGTGTGTTTTGGTGTGTGAATCACGATTACGATCACGACCATCCTGCTGTTCGTCGATTGCCTTGAGCAGGCCCCAGTTATGTCTCCTTCGTCCTAGACCTGAGATTTTTTAAAAAGTGCCATATTCAAGGCTCTTTCAGGGTTAGGAGAATGACACCCTTCATTGTTACTGGTATTTGGCATATTGGGTACACCACGGGGAGTTTGCCAGACTCTGCCGTGTGGGCAGGTTACATTCGGTAGCCTGCCAGTTTGTCCAAAGTAAGAATGAGATAAGATGTCGCGCGGCCGCAAATGCCAATAAAACCTTGAAATATCTGTCCTGTCTTCGTGTGTCAGTGGGTGGCTGAGCTCAGGCTTGTAGCCACTTAACATGTCTCATCGCACACCTTACAGATAAAATTCATTTCTTTGCACTCCACTTCAGGGCATCTATGAGAGGGTGCAGGGATTAGGGTGCTTGCCCTGGTTTGCTCTTCGGCATGGAATCTGTCTCCCCAGTCAGGAGTGACCTCTAAGCACAGAGCCAGCAGGAACTTCTGGATGCTGCCAGGTGTGGCTCAGAAACCCTCCCCCACACTCCATGAAAGGAAGAAAGAAGGAAAGAAAGAAACAGAGAAAGAGGGGCTGGAGCAATAGCACAGAGGGTAGGGCGTTTGCCTTGCACGTGGCCGACCCGGGTTCGATTCCCAGCGTCCCATATGGTCGCCTGAGCACCGCCAGGAGTAATTCCTGAGTGCAGAGCCAGGAGGAACCCCTGTGCATCGCCGGGTGTGACCCAAAAAGAAAAAAAAAGGAGAGAAAGAAAGAAGGAGAGAGACGATGAAAGCAAGAGAGAAAAAGAGAGAGAAAAAGAAACAGAGAAAGAAAGAAAGAAAAGAAAGAAAGAAAGAAGGAAAGAAAGAAAGAAGGAATGCTTGGGACATATTGAAAAAAATTTCCCTGGACAGATCATTGATTCCACACGTTCATCTTGACACTGACGTGCACTCGGCACTGGTTCCGAGGGCTTATTTATCCCTGCCCACGGTATGGGATGTGCCTCCCGCCTTCCTCCGGGGCTGCCACTGAGTGAAGCTGATGACTGCTTATGCTGCGTTCCCACTGGATTTTCCAGCGAGCCCGAGGTCTGTTCACCATCTGGCGCCCAGCTGCCTCCTCCTGGGGGTGGAGGTGGGGGTGGGATGCCACCCGCTGGGTCGCGCATGTCCACTTTCCAGTCCAGGCCCTGCAGGCTGTGTGTTCTGGGTCTGAAATACCATTTCAGAGACCCGTGGCTTTCATTTCCAAGCGGCATGTACTGCCGTATTGCTGGACCCAGGCACGGAATTGACCTGGTGGTCAAAATCTGAAGGCTGCTTCTGATTGTACCCCCAGGGCCCCAGTGAGACCCCCTAAACCCATAAAACTTGTAAGTGGATTTAGCACACACAGAAAGTGGAACACATGGAGATACACTGAAAGGCTAATTTTGGATATTTTTTTTAATGCCATGGCAAAAGAAAAAGGAAGTTTTTTTTAAAAATCAAGATCATGGTGATTTATTTTATTTTGTTTTTTTGGTTTTGTTTTGGGGTCACACTGGCAATACTCCTGGCTCTGTGCTCAGGAACTGGCAACCCTACAGGATGCGGGGGACCGAACCCTGGTCGCCAACATGCAGGGCAATGTACTACTGCTGCTGCACTATTGCTCAAACCCAAGATCATGGTGATTTAATTAAAAAAAAAACTGAAAAAAAATCCAGGGGCCAGAATGATAGTACAGTGGGTCGTGCACTTGCCTAGTACAGGGCCAACCTGGGTTCAATCCCTGGCATCCCATAAAGCCCCTGAGCCCTGCCAGGAGTGACCCCTGAGCACAGAGGCAGGAGGAAGCCCTGAGCATCACTGGGTGTGACTACACCACCTGCCCCCCATTCCTCTCAAAAGAAACTGAACAGAAAAAAGAGAAAGAAGTAGAATATTGGGGGAGGGGGATGGAAATAGTGAAACTTTGAGAAGGCAAGATATTTTTTCTTTTCTAAATTATGGCTGAAAAAGGGCTGGAGTGACAGCACAGCGGGCAGGGCATTTGCCTTGTACACGGCTGACATTGGTCCGATTGCTCTGTCCCTCTCGGTGGCCTGGCAAGCCACCAAGAGTTATCTTGCCCGCATGGCAAAGCCTGGCAAGCTCCCTGTGATGTATTTGATATGCCAAACACAGTAACAACAAGTCTCACAATATGTTGTGAGATGTTACTGGTGCCCACTCAAGCAAATCGATGAACAACGGGAGGACAGTGCTACAGTGGTCGAAAAAAAAATTGTACAACTGATGGAACCCAGATGAAGTGGGACTTCTTGAATGTCTCTCAGTCCCGACCCTTATGAGCCAGGAATATAGAACAGGTGTACAAATGAAATACTTCTGGGTCACAAACCATAAAGGATTTGGTTTAAAAAAATCCTAAAAATCTACCCCATAGGCAGTTAGAAGATGAGGAAGGGAAGAAAAGGGAGTCAGGAGTGGAGGACGTCAGGTGCATGGGTGATGTGGGGAGTGGTAAAGCTCTCCCCAAACCACTGAGTCAGCGATCCCGAGAACAAGAAATCCAACACAACCAAACCTGACAATGTACCTCTCAAGGTTGGGAGGGTGGGGGGTTGGGGGAGGTAACCTAGGGACACGGTAGGTGGGGGTGGGGGGATAGGGAATTTGAGTCTGGGGGTGGGATTGGTGCTAGAACATTCTATGTCTAAAACTCAACTACCAATATCTTTGTAAATCATACGTCTTTAACAAAATAAACATTTAAAAATATTTGTACTTAAAAGTTACCCTGCATGGGGGCATGACGCACAGTTTTAGAGGCTAGGGTATAGAGGAACTATTTTGGATTGTTACAAGCAGGAAAGGGAAGGAGACTCTAAGTAAGGAAATGCTTATAGCCACGGGAAAAATATCAGACCAGTGCAATGCAGCAAGTTCTTTAGGCATCACAAAAATCTTGGAGAAACTGTTTTTAAAAAGTTCAAGAAGACTATAGGAGAGTCAAAATGAGTCAACAGCAGAAAGATACAGACAAAATCGCCAACCCTTGGAAGCACATTTCTAAGTATTCTGTGGGTCAAAGAAGAAAACAACAACACCTCACTTGATCACTTGACATCCCGTTACTCATCAGTTTGCTCGAGCAGGTGCCATCTCCATTTGTCCCTGTCACGTGCTAGTGTAGCCCAATGGCGTTTGCTCATTTTAGGAACATGAAGAGCCTCAAACTGATC